AAAACAAAAGAGAAGAAAGCTGCCCTCCCCCTGCCCGCCCTAAGAAGTCTGGGCATCAGGCCACACTGGCCTCAGCCTCTCCACTGTGAGGGCTTCCCGCTCCTCCTTCCTGGGAAGTGTGTTTGTGCGCGAGGCCGCCTGTAGGAGGAGTCGTGTCCAGGGCCTCTGGGCCTTCTTCTGTCCTCACCCATCTCCTGCCCAACCCCGCCTCCGTGACAGGGTGACAGTGTGACAGGGCCTCTTTGTCCCAGACCAGCCCAGCAGCTTCCGGTGCCACATAGCCCAGGCCCAGCTGCAGCCGCCCCACCCCCTATTTGCAAGGTAAATATTAGCCTGGGCCAGCTCAGGACAGAGGGACAAAGAGCAGGAGTGCGGGCCACCACAGGCCCCTGCCTCACCTGCCTGTCTCAGGCCTAGCTGTGCAGCGTCATGTGTGGTCTGGGGGTAAAAGAACAACAGAGACCTGGGGACCAGGAACGCCCCCGCACAGTTTAATTCCTGAGTGGCCTACTGCCTATACTGTTGTATGAATATGCATAATATGTAAATTTGAAAATACATATGTATATTTTAAAATTGATGTTTCACTGGTATAGTGTTCACAAATCTCTTTTTTTTTTTTTTTTGAGATAAGGTCTCACTCTGCAATTTAGCTTGGCCTCAAACTCACTATGTTGCCCAGGCTGTCAGTGAACTCATGGCGATCCTCCTGTCTCAGCCTCCCAAGTGCCAGGCTTACAGGCATGCACAAACATGCCCAGTTACAAATCCTAATTATGTAACTCCAAATTCCACTTGCACACCTGTGTGGCACACTCCTCAGATACCACTCTTTCACCGCCTAGCAGCAAGGATCAGCCTTTTTTGTGTTTTTGAGACAGGGTCTCACCATGCAGCCCAGGGTGGCCTCAAACTTGCAGCAATCCTTCTGCCTCAGCCTCCTGAGTGCTGGAATGACACACATGAGCCACACCTGGCTCAGTGCAGCAGTCTTGCCTACATTCAAGCTTCACAGAAATAGAGTGGTTGTGTCTGTCTGTCCTCGCCTGGCGTGTCCTGGGTCCCTCCATCCTGTGTCAGAGGCCTGTCCTTGACAGTTGGTGACAGTTATGTTCCTGCACTCAGCGATGCCTCGCGTTTCAGTGAATTTCCAGTTTCGGGCTCGTTTAACAAGAGCCCCTGTGAATGTGTCTTGGTGTAAAGGGCTGGATGTTTCAGCTGGGAGGAAACCCAGGATGGGTTTCTGGGCTTAAGTGATGACGGCAGACTAATGTCCGAACAGCCGGCACCGGTTTATGTTCACGGCAGCAGGCACGGAGTGCAGGGCTGGTCCTCAGCAGTGCTCTGCGTTCTTCCTCCTTTTTTTTTTTTTGTACTGGGATCAAAACCCTGTGCCTTCCCACTGAGCTACATCACCAACCCCTTTTATTTTATTTTTTATTTTGAGATTCGGTCTCTTTAAAATACCCAGATTGGCCTCAAACCTGCAACCTCCCTGCTTCAGCCTCGCAAATAGCCAGGATTACAGACATGCACACTGCACCTAGATATTCTGCACATTTTTCATTTTTATTCTATTTTACTTTTTTGAGAGGGTCTCACTATGTAGTTCAGGCTGCCCTTGAATTTGCTTATGCAGCCCAGGCTGGCCTCGAACTCACAGTGATCCTCCTGCCTCAGCCTTGTGAGTGCTGGGTTTACAGGCATGTGCCACCATGCCTAGCTGCATTTTTGTGTGTGTGTCTTTTTGAGACAGGGTCTCGCTATGCAGTTCAGGCTGGCCTCAAACTTGAAGTAATCTTCCTACCTCAGCACTCCTAGCGCTGGGAGAACAGACTTGTGCCACCAGGTATAACGAGCCTGGGCTATCATCTGTCTATCTGTCTATCTATCTATCTCTCTCTCTATCTTTCTCTCTCTCTATGTATCATCTATCTATCTATCTACGTCCAGCCTCAGCAATTTAATATAAACCTGTCTCAAAATTAGAGTGTGTAGTTCAGTGTAGAAAGCTTGACTTTCATACGCAAGGCCCCAAGTTTGATCCCCAGTATTGCAAAAGAAAAAAGTGCATTTCTCTTCAGTAAAAATCTTTTCTAAAGAAGAAAAACATGGGGCTGGGGATTTAGCTCAGTGGCATAGCGCCTGTCTGGAAAGCGCAAGGTCGTGAGTTTGATTCCCAGTACTGGGAAAAAAAAAAAAGAAGAAGAAAAACATGATAGGTGTGGTGGTGCAGACCTATAATCCCAGCATTCTGGAAGCTGAGGCAGGAGAAGCGCCATGGGTTCCAGGCCAGTCTGGACTATGTAGTGAGTTCAGCATCAACCTGGACTACAAAGTGCGACCCTGTCTCAACCCAAAAACAGAACAAGAAAAGAGTTGGCAGGCCTGGGCTCCATGCCGGCTCCTCCGCACGGTTTGTTTCTAGGCTTCTGTTTCCCCGTCTGTAGTGTGAGGTGCGTGGGCACTCTGACACCTGTTCTTATGTCAGCCATGCATGTGGCCAGAGAGAACCCCAGGTCCCCAGCCTGAGGTGCTGACTTTCGCCTGTCCCTGCTCAGTGTCACCAGGACACCTTGACAGGGGACAGAAACAGGGTGAACCCAAGGTTAAGGGCTGGGCATGGCTGCAGCTGTTGATGGCCTCTCATACCCTGAAGCAGCCGCACTTCCAGCACAGTTCCCTATCAAATCATTTGTCCCCAGGAGGCTGAGTGGAAGCCTGAGACTAAAGCCAGGCGTGGTGGCACATGTCTCTCATCTCAGAACTTGGGAGGCTGAGACAGGAGGATCTTTCTAAGTTTGAGGCCAGCCAGGGCTACATAGTGACTCCAAGGCCAACCTGAACTACATAGCGAGATTCTGTCTCAGAACACAACACAAAAGCCTGGTGGAAATGCCATGCAGGAAGGGTGTGGGCAGGGTCCAGGAAGCTGGCCTGGCTGACAAAATTCATCTTAGCAGCTGGGTTCCAAATTCTGGGCAGTGCAGCCCTCCTCTCCAGAGAGCCCCAATAGTTCCTGCCACCCTCCTTCTCCTCAGGCGATTTCAGACAGGCTCTGCCCAGAAAGTATTCAGATCAGCAGCCAGCTGGCTTAACGTCAGAGGCAAACCAGATGTGAGCTGCTTGTGACTCATGACCAAAATTCTGGGAAGAGCTGGGGCGTGGTGGCGCACGCCTGTAATCCCAGCACTCTGGAGGCTGAGACACGAGGATCGTTGCAAGTTCGAGACCAGCCTGGGCTACAAAGTGAGCTCAAGGCCAGCCTGAATGGCATAGTGAGTCCGTCTCAAAAAGAACCCCCACACATAAAAAAAAAAAAGAAAAAAGTTCTGGGAAGCCAAAAATGACCCCTGCTGAGTCCTGCCTCACCCTCCACTGATTCTGTGGCCTTGGCCTGTGTCTCTCACCTTCTCCCAACCTGTTTCCTTTTCTGTGTATCAGGAGACAAAAGCAACTGCTAGTCCTAGCACTGGGGCAGGCTGAGGCAGGAGGATTGCAAGTTTGAGCCCAGCCCGGACTAAGGTGGAAACTCTGCCTCAAAATACAAATCACACAGCTGCCTCCTGTCTTGCCTCCTGCTCTTCCTCAAAGCAATCTGTGGCTTCTAATCCCCCTCCTCACAGCAACTTTTCAAACTTCAACCCCCGCTGTGGCAGTGTCTGTCGCAGCCCGCTTACCACGGGTGCTGATGTGTCCGCTGGCCTCCGCTCGGCCTGCCCACCTTCCCTCCATCCACACCTTTTCCACTGCCTACTGTGACCACTCACAGGAGCAGAAAGACCTTACTCACCTTGGCAGGAGATGGGAATCTGCCCCTTCGGGGTGCCGGAGAGCGAATGCGCCCCAAGTCCTCACGCCCTGCCCTCCAGCTCTTGCTCTTCCTTGGTCACCCAGGGCTTCGCCCCAATTGTCATCCCACCCCCCACCCCCACTCCGGGGCCTGCCTGCCAGCCAGCTGCTCCCCAGATGTGCGTTTTGGCTTTCTGCAGCTGTTTAGGTCCCGTCCTATCTCCCTCTGCTGAATCACGTTCTGGTCTCACGGGCACCCTGCATGCCACCTCCCTGCCCGGGCGCCAAGTGACCCAAGTGCAGCCCAGGGCAGGGCAGAGCCCACTCGGGAGCTTCGCTGGCTGCGTCTGAACCCAAACGGCTCGGCGCCCCGGGCAGGCAGACGGCTGGGGGCCCTGGTGCCTTCTGCTGACCACGCCGCAGGTGACGATGCTGCCTCCAGGGCTGCCGTGAGGGTGTGTCCCTGAGCGTGTCCTGGGGGCCAGCACACAGCGTGCCCCCTTTGAGGATGGCCCGACTCCTGGGCCAGCGGCTCAGCTCTGACAAAGGCACTGCTGTCCCCCATTCCTCAGTCCTGCCTGGAGCTGGGCACGCAGGACAGTGCAGATCTGGCCCTGGCCACCTCCCCAGGACAAGTGACTTCGCAGCCCTTAGAACACAGGAAAAGCTGCCAGGATCTCCCAAAGCCTGACCTCGAGGCACAACAGGCTGTCTGCTAAACTGCCCTGACACTCAGAAGCCATTCACTGGTTTGCTTCCAAATGAACTCTGAAGTCTGGCCCTCACACCTTTCCATTACCTTCTTCTGTGGCACCGGAAGGCTAAAGCCAGGGCCTCTGCACTCAGCAACAGCCCCAGCACTTTTCTGTACTTTTCAGACAGGGTTTTGCTAAGTCCCTCAGGCTGGGCTGGAACTTGGGATCCTCCTGCCTCAGCCTCCGAGTGCTAGGATTACAGGCACGTGCCACCATGCCCAACTCCTGAAGGATAATGATGGGCACTAAGCACCCACACAGGACAGCAACGCTGCCAACTGCTCGAGGGCTCCCTGGGTGGGGTCAGTTGGGTGCTGGGGGGGATGGTACCCCCGGGAGGTGGCAGGTCCCGCACCCCGGATAGTCAGTAAAGACCTCTACTCAGAAAGGTTTTACCCAGCAGTCGGGTCTCCTTTGGTGGCTCATAAGCAAGGGCCACCTGAGTCCTACTTGTCACAGCAGACGCCCGTCCCATCCAGGCGGCCCAGAAAGACACGGACACGCAGAGCTGGGGACAGTCTTTATGGGATCAGGTGCCCGTCTCTGCCTCTACCGCCTCTGCCCACGTGCCCAGGCCCATGTCCTTGTGGATCGGCACCAGGCTGGGGCTGCCCCGCTCCTTGGGCACCGCAAAGCACCTCTCCCAGCTCTTGGAACTGGTGGCCTCCACCACACTGCTGGCTGCGGATGTGTCCCTCAGGCCACCCAAGGCCAGCAGCCCTGGCTCAGGCTGCAGAAGCAGCGCGGCGGGGGCCGAGGGCGCCCCGGGTGGGTGACTGAGCTGGTGGCGCCGGAGGCCCTGCGGGAGGCTCTAGCCCATGCCGCAGGTGGGGCAGCGGTAGGGCTTGTCCACGAGGTGCGACTTGGGGTGACGCCGGAGCTTGGTGGCCAGTGTGTAGGCGCGGGAAGGGGAAGGGCCTCTCGCCCGAGTGCAGGCGCTCGTGGGCCCGGAGGGTGTGCGGGTCCCGCAGGGCCGTCCCGCACACGGGGCACAGGTGGGCCTCGCCGGTGCGCGCAATGAGGTGGCGCTGGGGCTCTGGCCGCTGCGCGAAGGCCTGGGCACAGTGCGGGCACAGGAAGGGCTTCTCCCTGGTGTGCAGCCGCAGGCGGTTCCGCAGCGAGCCCTGGGTGGCCAGGAGCCGGCCGCACGCGGGGCACGGGCATGGGCACGGGGTGGCGGGCAGCTGGTGGGTCTTAAGATGCAGCCGCAGGGAGGGCCGGCGGGCGAAGGCCTTGCCGCACTCCCCACACCGGTACTGGCGGCGCTGCTGCGGGAGCCTGCTGGTGAGCGTGGGGGGCTCCGTAGGAGGCCAGGGAGGTGGGCCCCAGGCTCCGAGGCCTTGCTTGGGATGGGCATGGATCACTGGGGATGGGAAATCTCCCAGCCGGACAGGTAAGCAGCTGGGGGCCCTCAGACAAACCAGCTTCACAGCTCTCCAGGTCCCACTGGGGAGCCGAGTGGCTCTGGGGCTCCAGGGGCGTCCGCGCCTGGGGTGGGCCCTGCTCATCCTCGAGGGCAACTGGAAGCAGTGCACCAGGGGGTCGGCTTTCCTGGCAAGTTCGGTCCTGAGTCTGAGACACAGGCCCAAGGCTCAGCGTACTCTCTGCCAGGACGCCAGGGGGTGACAGATGGCCAGGATCTGCGAGGCAACAGGCAGGGTGCAGGGGTCAGTCCCATGGGGCAGCAGGTGGCCTTCTGGGGGGACCACAGGCCTGTGTCTCCCCCAGCCTGCCTCAGTGGGAGCAGCAACTCTGGTCTCTCCCGGGCACGAGGCGCACTCGTTCTCTTCCTGGCCACTCTCAGAGCTCTACAGAAGCCCCACCACCTGCCAGTCCTCTCCGAGGAGGGCTCCCCAGTGTCCCTGGAGACACACAGGACACCACTCAAGGCCTCATCTCCCCACTCGAGCTCACCCCTACGATAAGGGAGCCCCTGCCCCAACAGGAGAGAGGAGACAGAAGAAACTGGAAACTTCCTACACAGCTTCCTTTTGTATCAGATGAGCTCACTACTCCAGGACACTCTCAGAACGTGAGAGTTACAAATATGTCTCTTAGTCCTCTAAGGAAAAGACCCGTGATACCCCAATGTCTCTGTCTTCATTAATCACAATTTGCAGTCTAAGATGCTTTATACCACATGCCTGAAAATTCTAGCCTTACAGGGCTGCCAATACTAAAGTTTGGTGTTTTTTTTTTTTTTTTTTTGAGACAAGGCCTCACTATCTGGTCCAGGCTGGCTCTGAACTCACTATGTAGCCCAGGCTGACCTCAAACTTGCAGTGCTGCTCCTGCCTCAGCCTTCTGAGTGCTGGGATTGCTAGCGTGTGCCACCATGCCCTGCCCAACCCTCAACTATGAAGTCACAATCTGGATCCAATCCTAACCAGGGCCTGATTTCCCATCCCACCCTGAAAAGTCCATTTTCAACCAGATTTTTAGTTATTTTGCATTTCTGGGAAAGAACCTGGAACCTCACGCATGCTAGGCAAGCGCTCTATCGCTGGGCAGCACCCCCGGCCCCAACCACATTCTCAAAGGAGACTAAGACTCTAGTATTTTCTCACAGTGTTGAGCTATAGAGCCCGCTGTCTCGGCACAGGATGCTCAGGTGACCCCGGGGAACCGGCGTTCATCTGGCACATACCTGTGGAACCCTCTGCCGCAGCCTTCCCGGGCGAGGCCGCTTCTTGTATGGCAGACTCCACTTCTGCCATGGTCACTGCAGGCATTCCTTCCTCCAGCCCAGGCTGCAAGGGGCTGGGACCCTCTGGGGAAGCCCAGGGCCACAGCAGCAGCTCAGAGCCTGGCAGCACGACCCCGTGCACCTGCAGGTGGAGCCTCTCGTGGATGCGAACCAGGGTCAAGTTTCCCTCACTCTCCAGCCCGCCTCGCTGCACCAAGCTGCAAAGCAGAGCAGATCAGCAGGCTCAGGAGATCCACTTCAAGAAGTACACAAGAACCCTAGCTCGTGGGAAGCCGAAGTCCTAAAGGACACTGTGCCTTCAGAACACGCATGGGAAAGATCCTTGCCTAGGGAATTACAGTAACTTCAGGTTCCATGCGGGTCTCCACAGGAAGCCACAAAGGACATTCTCAGTACGCCTCATCCTGGAACTTACCTGGTCCAAGCTAAGCTTTGATCGCTGGCCAAGGGACAGGTCCTGAAATAAACCAGTAAAAGTGCTTGAGGGGGGCAGAAAGGGGGAGGGGGAGGGGGAGGAGGAGGAGGAGGAGGAGAAGGGGAAGGGAAGGGAAAGGGAAGGGAAGGGAAGGGAAGGGAAAGGGAGGTAGAGGAGAAAAAGAAGAAATACTGGCTGAAACTTTACCTGGGACAGATTTTTATTTTATTTTAGGCAGGGTCCTACTATGCAGTTCAGGCTGGCCTTGAACTTACTGTGTAGGCCAGGCTGGCCTTCAACTCACCAGGTGATCCTTCTGCTTCAGCCTCCCTAGGGTTGGGATTAAGGCGTGCACCACCACACCTGGCTCTTGGGATAAATCTAAAATGAAACTCCTGGAAGGTTGGCAGGTCTGGTGTTACCGCTATATGGGGGTGCTGAGCTTGGGTTGTAATGGCACTTTCCACACATGCAAAAAGCCCTGTCTGATCCCCAGCACCAACTACAAAAATATGTGACAAGCAGGACATGGTGAATGCCTGTAATCCCAGCATTGGGGAGACTGAGGCAGGAGAATCCCCACAAGTTTGAGGCCCAGCCTGAACTGTGTAGCAAGACCCCCATCTCAAAAAGAAACAAAAAAACCCCAAATATGCCCGTGCTGTCTCACTCTTCCTTCACTGTCAACTAAAAAGTGTGTCTATCTACCTCCTTCCCAATGGTGTGGGAAAACAGTACCCATGCAGTTAAAATCTTTACTGCATTATTTCTTCTGGTTCTCCAAATAATCCGGAGACAGCCTTTGCTTTCTTTTACAGACAAGTTAAAGAAGGCATGTATTTTAGCCAACCAGGTGACAAGCCGGGGACTGGAGCCCGTGCCTTCTGAACGCAATAACTCTAGCTCTTGCCCATTGTCACGGCTGACACTGCACCAACCCAGCTTTTAGCGTTTTGCGTCTGCGGGGAAGACAGTCCCTCGGGGAAGGGACAAACCCATCTCACCGCTTGAAATATCCTCCTTCTAGGAACTGCAGAGTTGTCCAGAAATGTCCAAACTTCCCGCGCAAGTTTCAATCACAGAAGGGAGGCCCGACCCTTCCATACCTCCTCCAGCCGTGCTTTCACTCCCTCGCCCTTCTCCCCAGAGGCAGAGTTCTCCGGCAGCGGCCCCCAGCGCAGTCCCGGCTGCAGCGGCTCCCCGACACACCAGATCCCCAAGCGCCGTGTCCTCGCGAGTGAGGGGTCCAGGGCCAAGCTCTGGGGGACGCTGCTTAGCGCGAGGACCGCCCGCCTCGGCCCTGGCGTGCAGTCTCCTGGGCCTCCCGAGCACAGCCTCCGCCCGAAAAGCTCCATCCTGGGGCGGGGTGCAGGCGCGGCCCGGGGGCGGCGGGGAGATCGGAAGCGGCTCGGGGGCGGGAAAAGGTGCGGGAAGACCCGCGGGCTCCGCCGGGCCTCGGGAGGCTGCGGGGTAGGCGAGGGCTGCACCTCCCCTCCCCTGAAGCTTTGAGGCTGCTCGCAGGGCACCGGAGGAGGATCCTAGACTCGACAGGACAAGGGACTGGGGGTACAGAGTTGACCAGAGGACACTGGGACCATCTAGGCCAGGGTCTGTGAGGATCGCCTACATCGTAGGCCACTCACTGAGCTGTACGATATTCCCCGCCAAGAGCGCCACCTCCATGCCAGGTATGGAAAAAACCAAACCAAACTAAAACAAAACAAAACAAAAAAACCCCTCACCTCGCCGGAAGTGAGCTCTGTCTTCTCTGCTCCTCCCGGAAACTGTCATTGATTGCCAAATTTCCTCGCTGAAAAGAATCCGAAGAGTTAAACTACATCGGCATTCAGGACCCGGAGTTTGGGAATACTTGTAAAGCCTAACTCTGTTAAGGAACAATACGAATCTAGGAGTCCAAAGCCCACCAGATTCGAGTATCTGAGAAAGCGGAACGAAGTAGTTCCAGCCACTCCACTGAAGAGTGATGAGTCGGACAGTTACACTACCCCTTCCTCCCGCAGGCACTTTGGCGGGAGAGTGCGGGGAAGTGGGCGTGGCTCCTCGGAAGGCCCTGCTTGGACCCGGCCGCGAGCCGGAAATAGGCTGGAGGTGTGGCGGAAGTGGTTGGGAATTGAGGCGCCCCCAAGGGGGCGGTTCCCATTCCACCGCGGAGCCGGATGTTTGCGGAGCTTTGACAGGCGTGGCAGCGGGAGCAGCACCAGAGCGCGGTGAGCTGCACAACGCGGGGTCTCTCGGGGGGGTGGGGAAAGGCAAAGAGCTGGTCCGGCTGACCGAAAAGATGGGGTCCGCATGCGGAGGACCCCAGCGGAGCCGAGAGGAGGGCGAGGGTGGAATTGGGCCCGGGGGCCTGGCCTTTGGCTGCTGAGATCCTGTCCCATTTTGGCGCCTGTCCCAGAAGACGGCCCCTTTCGCGGACTTCTTCCCGCCCTCCGCGGGGCAGAGGCCAGGCCGCTCGCTGTCAGGAGCAAGCCCGTGGGAGGGAGAAGTTTCTCGGATGCCATCTGCCGAAGCACTGAGGAGGGGAGTGTAGCACCCTGCCACCTACTAGACCACGCTTTCCTCTCACTTTCGTAATTTGTGAAGCGAGATAATTGCCCCCAATCCAGGCTTTTTTTTTTTTTTTAAATAACATTTTTGTAATTAGGCCCATTACAATGCCTGACAGTGGTGTTTTGTGTTGTCCGTGTTCTGCACAAAGGGAAGTTTAGGGAGAGGCTGTAGTTGCCCTTTCATGGCAGCCTTTGAACCTTGAGAGTCGCGTGAGTGACGGTCACTTGGGAGATTGTGGAGGGATCGACTTGCACGAAGACAGCACCCGGGACTGAGAGGCATAGGTTAAAATCCCGCCTTTGAGGGCTGTGCGACCTCACAGTTAGACACTTTGCTTGTTTTTGTGCACCTCACTTTCCTCAAACTGTAAACTGGGCTTGCTAAGTCACTAAACTGCTCTGGCTGGACTCAAACTCCTCCTGCCTCAGCCTCTCAGAGTACTGGGATGACGGGTGCACCACCACACCCGCCTCTTCCTCCCTTACATACACCTCAGCTCTTAGCTGCTACTCCTACTTCTGTTGTTCCCTTCAGCACAAATATTTCTCAACACTGGAGAATTATGTTTCTGGGAGGAGCTTTTGCTTCTGCAGATGAGGATATTTCGGCTCAGATAGGAAAAGGTTTTGCCCAGGATTGTGGCACATTTTCTGCTTAGGCAGGACCATAAGCCAGTTCTCCATCTACTGGAAGCCAAGTCTCTTCCGCTGCCCGCTGTGAACAGAAAAGTCTCTGGGATAGCACTGTGCGGCTGGTGCCTGGGCAGTGCCGGAGCAGGAGGGATGGGAAAAGGCTCAGGCTGGGGGAGGTGGCTCGTTGGGGAGCTGGATTTTGTCCCCCTTATTCTGCTGGGAGCACCTCAGCTGCCCTCACGGCCTCCTGGGTGAACAAGGGAGGAGTGGTAGGTGAGGGATACATGGATCACCATGGATTCCTTAAGACTGTGTTTGAAGGTGGGGGAGCTCTCTAGGCCGCGTGAGGGCGCACACCTGCAATCCCAGCCCTCGGGAGGCTGAGGCAGGAGGATCGCTATGAGTTTGAGGCCAGCCAGGGCTACAAAGTGAGTTGAAGGCCCGCCTGGACTGCACAGTGAAACTCTGTCTCAAAAAAAAAAAAAAAAAAAGGAAAAAGAAAAGAAAGTGAAGGAGCTAGGCTTTCAGTTGAGGGCCCAAAAGTACTCACCAGGGAAATGCATGCCTGAATTGGGAAGGAACCTGTGTTTTGGTGGAAAGCAAGGGTGGTGGGTTAGATCTGGGAGACAGAGAGATGAGAGAGGAAGAGAGACAAAGAAGAGGCTTTCTGACTTGTGGGTGCTTGGCTTCGGCCTGGAGCTTGAAACAGCTCTTCCCTCTGACTCAGTGTGGTTGCCCTGGTAACAGGGTGCTTGTTGCTAGGCACGGGGAGCCGGTTCTCCATCCCAAGTCCTTGGCTAGGATGTGTGCAGGAGGTTGCCGAGTGACCTCAGCCCGGAGGCAGGGGCAGCCCTGGGTGGCCGCTGTCCCCCTCTCCCTCCTGCCCGCACCAGTGCTGTCTGCTGTCCTTATCTGCCTGCAGAGTCTGACCATATATGTCATTTTTGGGGCTCCAGGAATGCAGCAAGCTCTCAAGCAGCCTATTCTCTGGGCTTGGGCAGTGGGACTGCATCAAAAGCCCCTCTGCCTTCCGGTGAGCCTGTGGCAGGTGAGGGAGGGGCAGGGGTGCCCCTTCCCGGCTGCAGGCCCCAGAGTGGGGAAGGCTGGTTCCCACGCCAGGCCTTTTCCTCGCTCTGTCACCCACCCTGTTGGCTCATGCCCTGCACTCCCCGTCCTGAGGGCCATCGGGGCACCCTGGGCCCGAGGGGCCTAGAGACTGTCAGCCGGGACTGGCAGGCAGATCCCATCTCTGCTGCTGCGTCCGCGACCGTAGTTTTTCTGGGACCTTGTTGTCTCTGGTCACCTCCTCTTCCTCAGGCCATGGGAAGGGTGGAGTAGCAAGGCCATAACTGGCCTTTTTTTGGAGCATGCATTTGGAGACCCTTAGATTCTTTTTTTTTTTTTTTTATACTGGGAATTGAACTCACGACCTTGCACTTGCCAGGCAGGCGCTGTGCCACTGAGCTATATCCCCGGCCCCCTTTTTTGTTTTGTAAGATAGAGTCTTGCTATGTAGTTCAGGCCGGCCTTGAACTTATCATGTAGCCTAGGCTGGCCTCAAACTCTCAGCGGTCTTCCTGCCTCAGTCTCCTGACTGATATGCGCCAGATTACAGCTAGGAGATCCTTAGATTCTTGTAACATCTCCATGCCTGTGACTGCTGGGATGCGAGAGAGGCTTCCGTGCTCCAGCGCCCTGAGGAGAGGACCGTGGGCCTCGGCCCTCTGCAGCTGCGGCTACACGATGAGGAAAGTGGGTGAGAGGCAGTGCGGGACCAGGTTCGGCGCTTCCTACCCAGCTGAGCGCCTGGAGCAAGGTGCCGAGCTGGGGCACCCTCTGCCAGCTGATGTTTCTGGCATCATGCTCCTGGAGCCTTGCAGGCTGAGAAGCGTTGAGGAACAGGACAGGGCAGAGAGCAGGCTGGGCAGCGGGAGGGCTGTCCGGGTCTAGGAGGTGACAGAGGTGTCCCTGGCGCCCACCCCGCCAGCTTTGTCTCAGGTTCTGCGGTAGACCTGGCCATGGACCCACTCTCTGAGCTGCAGGATGACCTGGCCCTCGACGACCCCAGCCAGGCCCTGAACCAGCTCAAGCTGGCCTCCATCGATGAGAAGAACTGGCCCTCGGATGACATGCCCGACTTCCCCAAGTCAGGTGGGCACTGCCAGGGCGCAGGGAGAGCCCGGGGGCACCAGGCTCACAGGGTGGGGTCCCGTACTGTGCCAGCCGCCATCACCCCCAGCTCTGCGGTCTTCCTCAGATGACTCCAAAAGCAGCTCCCCAGAGCCTGTGACACACCTGAAGTGGGACGACCCTTACTACGACATTGCCCGGCACCAGATCGTGGAGGTGGCAGGTAAGTGGCCCCAGGGGTGGGGATGGGGACGCGCTGGCGCCCGCCCTGCAGCCTGAGCCCGGCCTGTGGCTCCTGAGCACACAGACCTTTCCCTCAAGCACAGCTGATTGTGGCCGCCATGCAAGGGGTCCGCTGCCACTGCATCCTGCCCAAACCCTCGTCTCCTTCTGTGGATGGTCCCTGGAGGCAGCGTGGCCTGGTGGCTTTGAAGTCACAGGGCGCTGGCTTTGGTCTGAATGCCTCCTTCCTCATGGGCTTGCTGAGAGGTTACAGCAGTGACCGTGTGTCAGGGCCCTGCCGGCAGCCAGGGCTTTGCCGGCCCTAAATAAGTGGCTATCCCTTTCCCCTTGTCCGTCACCTCTGCCCCTGGCCCTGGTGTCAATTTCTCTATCCCACGAGGAGGAGGGGTGCAGAGCCCCCACCTCGGTCTCAGGGACCCCACCCTGGGATGTGGGGAGGGCTTTAGCTCGGGGAAGAGGCTCTCTGAGCCAGGCAGCTGTAAGCGAGACGGGCTGGCCCTGCGCTGTGACCAGGGCCTGGGTGGTACGTGTCCCTGAGAGCCACGCAGTGCTGGCTCAGGGGCCCTGGGAGAACCGTGCACCTGGACGCTGGGCTCGGGCAGAGGGAGGCAGTAGAGGGACCTGGCTGGGGTGTTCCGCCGTGTCTGTGCTTGGTGCCCGCCCTGTGCTGTGAAGGGCCCTGGCCCTGGCCCCTCACCCCATTGGAGACACACCTGTTCCTCCTGGGTCCGTCCCAGCCTGGGAGCCATGCAGAAGTCCACCCTGCCACCTTCCTGGCCCCGGCCCAGCCCCATGGCAAAGCTGGCCGAGGCTGCATGCCTGCTGGCTCACTGGCCTCTTGTTTCGCTAGGTTGTGATGAGACTGAGGCCCCGCCAGGGAGGTGTTGGTCGGGCTCTCTGTGCGTGGCCTGTCCAGGCGGTGACAGCACTGGGGATCAGGGCCAGTGTGGGGAGCAGGGAAGCCGGGTTGCCTGGGAACCGGAACTGGCAGAGTTGAAAGGAGGCGACGCAGGGAGGAGGCAGTGTAGGGACAGACACACAGCTCCTAGGCACGTGGCAGTGCACACCTGTAAACCTAGCACTTGTGAGGCTGAGGCAGGAGGATTACTGAGAGTTCAAAGCCAGCCTGGGCTACATAGTGAATTCAAGGCCAGCCTGCATTACAATGTGAGACCTTGTCTCAAAAACAAACAAACAAAAAAACAAAGAAAGAAAGAGAAGAAATTGGAACAAGAGCCCTTGTGGGAAGGGAGAGTGGTTCCATCCCCTACTCCTCTGCAGGCTGTGCTGTCCCCAGCGCACTGGCTGTCACACTGCTTGGTCAGATGGTCCAGGCAGGTCCTTTCCGTGTCCCGGGCAATGTTTCACAGCAAGCCATCCAGGGAGGGGAAAAACGGACAGCACGTGCAGCATTTGAAATTTTGATCCCAACTGCCAGCATGACCGCAGACGCCCCCGCAGCGTGGTAGCTTAGCAGACTGCTTGGGCTGGAGCCGCCCGCCGCCTCCCTATCCTGTTCTGCAGGTTGTGCGGCAGGGCTGGGCCGCCGCTCAGGAGCTGCCCTGTCGCTGATTAACCCCAGGCCCCTGGGAGAGGCCCACTGGCATCTGGGGAATGAGAGGCCAAGCTCTGCGCTGTCGCAGAGCCCCTCCCACGCTGTGCTCTGGTGACACCGCTGTCAGCTCTGTGTCTCTTTAAGTCTGTGGGGCAGAATCCACCCCTTTCCGAGGTCCAGCCAGGAGCCCCCACCTCCTTCCATCTGCTCCTCGCAGCCACCACTGTCACCACCCCACCTGCAGTGAGTGAGGGGCCATGGAGCCTTGGGCAATTGTACCCCACTTCGGGGCGTGGACCTGGGGTCTATACCCTAGGGTGCCCAGACCCTCAGCCCTTGCTGTCCAGGAATCTTACCCTCAGACCCCTTTTGTTTGGTTTTGGTTTTGGCTTTTGAGATAGGATCTTACTGTGTAGCCCAGGCTGGCCATGAACTGGAGGAGATCCTCCTGCCTCAGCCTCCTGAGTGTTGGGATGACAGGTGTATGCCACCACACCTGGCTTCAGTGTGTATCTTTTTTCTAAAAAACAACATGGCATGTATGTAATGTTTTTCATGTGCCATCGTGGAGTTAGGCCTGGGAGCCCATTTGTGGGGCCCTGGTTGAGGCCCTGGAGCACCTCTCTTTCAACCTGCTTCCTTAACGACCACTACCTCTGCACATCCAGGGCCACAAGAGTCCCCAGAGCTGCCCGGTGGCCAGGCAGGGCCTGGAGAGTCTTTCCCAAGGCCGCTCGCTCCCCAGACTGCAGGCAGCCGCTGTGCCTGGACGACGCGGTCCCGGCACTCCAGGTGCTGCCTGCTTGCTGCCCATCAGACCCTTTGCCCCACGACTGCCCGCCATGGGAAGCGAGTCAGGGCGGGCAGGTGGCCCCAGTGGGGACTCAGCACCTCAGGCCCCCACTTCCCTCCGCCCGGGCACAGGAAGGGTGCTGTGTGCGTCAGTCTGCAGAAATATTGCCTGAGCTTTGGGGAACTCACTGTCAGTGGAGGCCACTTGCAACGGAAACGCAAAAGGCAGACGGAATTGCAGCTGTGCACGCCATGTCACAGGACAACACTTGCTATTAAGACAGGCTCACTTTATTGTCCAGGCTGGTCTCAAACTTAGCGGCTCAAGTGACCTTCCTGCCTCAGCTTCTTGAATAGCAGGACCTATAGGCAGCCGTGGATACAGTCTGCATACCTACCATGTGCCGAGCACCCCTAGAGACTCAAAGACGGATGAGACACAGTGCCTGTAGTCCCGCAGTGTGGGAGCTGAGGCAGGAGGATCTTTTTTTTTTTTTTTTTGTTCCGAGAATCGAACTTATGACCTCAGGCTTGCCAGGCAAGTGCTTATGCCGCTGAGCTATATCCCCGCCCAGGAGGATCTCAAGACTGACCTTAACTTGGCAGCTTAGCGAGACCCTATCTCATATTAAGAAAGGGATGGGGCTGTAGTTCACTGTAGGTTGCGTGTTCAGCCCCTAGTACCGGAGGGGGGAAGCAGCATGAACAGTTACACAAGAGTCAAGGTATCACGCCATGCCACAGACAGTGGTTTACAGCAGCAGCCGTGAGAAGGGGCAGCCTCACTGGGTGGGTGGGTAGGGGGCGTGATTGAGTCTGGGGAGAGGCCCCAGGAAAGGGAGCAAAGTGCCTCGGGGGAGGTGTGCACGCCAGGCGCGGATGGAGCCAAGCGGGCAGGGCTGAGCCCCTGAGACCCAGAGCTGTCAGGGACCTTGCCAGGCCCAGGACCTGCAGAGAGTACAGAGGAAAGGAGTCTCTGGGACATGGACCCGGGGTGGGTGGGGAACAGAGCCTCTCTCTGGCCCCAGGTGCCACCAAGGAGTCTGAGGAAGCACTGAGGAAGCACTGGGCAGGCCCTTCACGGCCAGCAAAGCCAGGCCACACTTTGGGCAGAGATGGGAGCTGCGGGGACCTGGCTGCTGTCACGTAGCTCGGTGCTGCCATAGCCGCCAGCCGCATGGCTTGTTCCCGGCAGGTGCAATGCCTGAAAAAGTGATGCTGTTTTCTGTACCCGGCGGCCCTTTTTTTCTTTTCCATTCCTTTTTCTCCTTTCTTTTCTTTCTTTTATTTTATTTTTATTTTTCTGGTACTGGGAATCGAACTCACGACCTCGCACTTGCCAGGCAGGTGCTGTGCCACTGAGCTAAATCCCCAGCCCCCTCTTTTCTTTATTTTTTGAGACAGGGTCTCACTGTGTAGTTCAGGCCTTGACCTCACTATGTACCCAAGGCTGGCCTCAAACTGGTGGCGATGCTCCTGCCTCAGCTTCCCAGACTCTGGGATTTGCAGGTGTGCACTACCATGCCCAGTTTAGCTCCTCTTTCCTGTGTGGCCCAACCTGGAGGCAGGTGGCTTTCCAGGCTTCCCAGAGGTAGATGTGGGGGTCACGCCGGGCCTCCGTGGTCTTTCCCTCCTTCGTCACCCGCCCGCTGCTGTCTCTGTCCACACCTAGGCGATGACAAGTACGGGAGGAAGATCATCATGTTCAGTGCCTGCCGGATGCCGCCCAGCCACCAGCTGGACCACACCAAGCTCCTGGGGTGAGTCCGTCCCCCTGCTGTCCCTCGCTGCTGGGCCGGGCCTCCTCCCTGTCCTCCCCTCTTCCGTGGGGGGCGGCGGGAGTCAGGTGCTTTCTAGTCCTGGAAGCAGTGTGAAATTGGCGGGGGTCCTCAGCCTCACCTCAGGAGGGGTAAGATGCAGCCCTCTTCCTTATGGAGTGGGGTCCTGCATGTGAAAATGCCTTGGAAAGGGAGATACCAAGCCGGGCAAGCCTGTGATCCCAATATTTGGGAGGCTGAAGCAGGAAGATTGCTCGAGTTCCAGGCCAGCCTGGGCTACATAGTGAGACCCTGTCTTAAAAAAAAATTACTGTCCAAATTATTATGTGGCGTTTCTGATGTGGTATATGTATCTCATATTCATGATTATTGCTAAGAAGTATTGTTCTAGTTTTAAAATTTGTTTTTATTAGTGCACGTTTGCAGTACATAACGACCAAGTCCTCATGGGGAGCGGGTGCCTAGCATAGCACGTCTGAACCCTTTGTATGCCGCCCTCCCTGCCCTGTTGCTCTATTTCATGCTCAATTTGGTTTCACGCATATGTGGCAGAGCCACTAAGAAAAGTCCAAAGATGGGGCACAGGCTGCTGACCAAACCTCTTCTGATAACTGCCCATTACTCAGCTGGCGCTGCCTCAGCAGGGACCGGTGCACTGTCACAGGGCATGAGTCACCGCCTTTCTATTTCATTTTACTTTATTTATCTTTTATTGTGGTATGGGAGATCAAACCCAAGGCCTTCACACTGAGCCACAGCCCCAGTCCTTTGTAATTTTCTTTCTTTCTTTTTTTTTTTTTTTTTTTTGGAGACAGGGTCTTTCTAAGTCACTAAGATACCCGGCTGGGCTTGAACTTGGGATCCTCCTGCCTCAGCCTCCCAGACGGCTGGGATCACTGGTGTGCCCCACCACACCTGGCCATCTTTTTCTCTCCTGACAACATGAAAGGCCTCACTTGTCCCTGGGGCTGTGTATGAGGGTTCCCCGAGGCAGAACTAAAGGACGTAACCCCACTTGCAAAGTAAGTTTGCAGGCCTGCCCCTCCCATGGAAGGGTTCTCAGGACCAGTCAGGAGGAGGCCTGGGAAGGGCTTGTGAGGCAGCGGCATGGGAGGAGTGCGGTGCTTGGAGAAACGAGACAAGTTGTTTCCCAGAACAGGGAATAGTTGGGCTTCTCTGGAGGGGTGGAAGCCCTGGGAGAGAGCGGGCGCCAGCCCATTCCACAGGTGCGGGCATAGGGCTTTTGTTTTTAGGGAAACATGCTTTGGATCCTGTCCGCCTGCTCCGTTACCTTAGGATCACAGTCCTGCTCTTTACTTTCTCAGTTAACCCAGTTTACCGACTTCAGGTTTTCCTGAGGAATTTGGGTCCCATAGGGAAGGAGCCTAATTTAAGCCAAGGGACTGCTCGTTTGGGTGGCTTGGGTGACTCGGCGGGGCCCTGAAAGTTGCAGTCTCCATAAAAGGACAGTTTTTAGCTGGGCCTGGTGATGCACACCCTAGTCCCAGATGACACTGAGGCAGGAAGGTTGCTCCCAGCTCAAGGCCAGCCTGAGCTATGTTGCGAGTTCAAGGCCAGCCTGAATTACATAGCAAAACCCTGTCTCAAAATGCAACAAAGTACAGTTTTTCGTTATGATGTCCTTGTCTCCTTTCTACCTGTATTTTATTTTATTTTCTCCTACCTCAACGGAAATTTGACTTCTCCACCCTGCCCACAGCAGCTCTTTGAGGTCCTGAGGGGTTGTGCGCTTGTAGGGCTGGGCGGGCTTGGGGACAGCGGAAGTCCTGATACCTGAGTTTGGGTCTCCGCTGGTCCAGGCTGAGGGCCAGGGCTGGCAAGGCTGTGTGTTGTTTCTTGAGGCAGAGGCTCACTATGCAGTTGAGGCTGGCCTCAAACATGCAGCTGTCCTCCTGCCTCAGCCTCCAGAGCTCGGAGGTGACAGCTGTGAGCCACCTGGCCTGCTGGAGCCCTCAGACCTTTCTTTCTGGCTCCTCCCTCCTTTCCGCCTGGACACATGGGGCAGGCAGAGTCTTGTCCAGGCCACCGTGGACAGAAAACAGGCTGAGAAGCTTGGCCCGGACTTGGCTGAGTCACTGGCCTCCTGGGGGTGTTTCTAAGGTGTCTGCTGAGCCAGGTGACAGACTCCTAGCCAGAGAGCAGTGGGCGGAAGTTGGGGCGGGGATGGGGAAGCACCCAGATCCCCGGCAGACGCTGCAGAAGGAAACCGTGGGGCTTCCTGCCCCTTGCTGCGGGCCTCCATCCCTTCCGGGCTTCGGGCTTCGTGCCCTCTGTGCCCGCCCTGCCCTGCTTCACACGAACTCGCACACGCGCACACACAGAGAATTGAGACCCCTTCGGTAGGTGACATGCATGAAATGCCATTGTTTACGTTTTCTAAGTATTATACTTTGAGAGACTAGGGAAGTGGAAGCAGCTATGAAAAAATAGACAACTATTTTTAAAAATCTGCAAACCTACCACCCAGAGTGAAAACCACTTTGAATGTGTTGCTATGTTCACTTCCTGTTTTGTTTTCTGTAACATACGTGGAATTCCGTAGCCAGTTGTGCATTTTATAAGACATTTTTATCTTCCTGGCATGAAACGTTCCTCAAAGGCATCCTCTAAAAACATTTTATTGTCAGGCGTGGTGATCGGCTGTAATTCCACACTCTGGGAGGCTGAGGCTGGATGATTGTTGGGAGCTCAAGGCCAGCCTGCACTGCATAGTGAGACCCTATCTCAAACAACAAACCAAATATTTTTTGACATACAAGATGCATATGGATAAATAAATTCCAATTTTGCTATGATTTTTGTCACTTCCTCTTTCTCTTTCTTTTCTTTCACAGAGTCTCACTAAGTTGTCCAGCTGGCCTTGCCCTTGTATTTTCTTTTGTCTTTTTGAGACAGGGTCTTGAACTGCAGTTCAGGCTGGTCTTGAACTCACTTTGTAGCCCAGGCTGGCCTCGAACTTGCAGGGATCCTGCTGCCTCAGCTCCTAAGTGCTGGGATTACAGATGTGGGCCACCACGCCCAGCTGGCCTTGCCCTTGTGATCCCCTTGCCTTTTGCCTACCAAGAGAATTAGAGGCATGTGCTACAGTGTCTAGCTTTCTTTCCTTTCCTTTTCTCTTTTTTTCTTTGCAGTGTAGGATTTTTTTGGTGCTAGGAATCGAACTCACGACGTCATGCTTGCCAGACAGGCACTGTGCCGCTGAGCTAAATCTGCAGCCTTTATTCTTTTCTTTTCCTCCCCTCCCCTCCCAAAGCGGAACACTCCTACCACGCCCAGCTTCTGCTGAATGTCAAAAGCTGGACACCCACACCCGACACCTGCAAACCCCTTTGGTCCTCCGTCTCTGTCTCTCGGTGGCTTCTGTTGCTTCGGTGGCCCTCACAGAGTCCCCTGTCTGCGGCACTGTCGTGGGGGGCGGGGTTCTATTTCTAGGTGTCCTCTGATTTCTTTAACCAGCTCCTCACGTTGGGCACTTGGGTTGCCGCCTAGTTCTTGTTCCATCATGAAGGCCCAGGTTGAACAACAGCTTACCAAGATGTTCCTATTCATCTCTGGTTATTTATTTATTTTTTTAATTAAAAATTGTTAAGCCAGCAGTGGTGGTGCACGCCTATAATCCCAGCACTCGGGAGGCTGAAGCAGGAGGATCATTGCAAGTTCGAGACCAGCCTGGGCTACAAAGTGAGCTCAAGGCCAGCCTGAACTGCATAGTGAGACCCTGTCTCAAAAAGACAAAAAAAAGGTTACATTTGTCAGTGAATGAGGTGTCCATTTCACTATGATCTGCCTTTTTTTTTTGGCTTGGTTTTTTTGAGACAAATCCTCACTATGTAGCCCAAGCTGGCATCAAACATGTGGTAATCTTCCTGTCTCAGCCTCCCAAGTGCTGGGATTATAGACGCGCAGCACCAAGCCTACATTTTTTAAATTTAAAAAATGTATTAGTAGGTGCTTATAGTACATAATGATTATGTTCATCTTAGGGAGGAGGTACATGTACTTAATGTCCCTTAGTTCTTTTTATTCTTTCCCTCCCCTCTGAGGGAAATGGGGATGCAAACGCAATTTGCTATTGTCGTAGACACAGAATGGCCTCGTTTTAGGTGGCAGCTGTTTGTAAGCTGCACAGTACCCGTTGTGGAAAAGGGTAAATTATGTGCAGGTACTCCCAGTCGGAGCCTTCCTGTGCTGCCCGGCCCCGCACCAGGGGCTGGTCATTCAGTCACCCCCGCTTTCTCTCCTGCTGCCTCCCCTTAAACGTCCTGCACAGCCTGGAGCAGGCCAGCTGGAGCCAGGGATCTTGTTGGCCAGCTGCTTGCCCACCCAGGGCACTTGATCTGGACGCCTGGCCATCTCCCAACCCTTGTTCCTTCCATCCAGGCCTCTCTCTGCTTTTGAGACAGGCTGTCACTATGTAGCCCAGGATGGCCTTCTCTCAATCCTTCTTGCGATCCTCCTGCCTCAGCCTGGAGAGCTGGAATCACAGGCGTGCGCCACCATGCCTGGCTTCCCTCTGGGCTTTTTTTAAAAAAATGTATCGGTCCATTTTAGATATACACAAGGATCACATTGATCATAGGGATCTGTACCTGCGCATGGTGTATCTTGCTTATTTTTTCCCCAACCCCTCTTTCCCTCTGGGCTTCGATCTCCCAACCCCAGGAGCGAGTGTGTTGTGTGGACTGGTGACACTGGTCCGCTGAAAGCCTAGTGCCCGGAACAGACGACCTTCGGGCCACCCTGATTGTATCTCAGGCCAGCACACAGCTTTCACAGCTTTTACATCTTTTATCTTTGACAGAGTCCGCTGTAAAATTCAGTTGTCTCAGGTCAGAGCACAGGCTTCAGAGCGGGATACTTGGCCTCCGGGCTGTGAGTGTAACTGCATAAGCCCTGATCTCTCCACTCCCTCCCTCACTGACCTCCTGGACCCTGGAAGAGGGAGTAAGGAGGAGGTGATGGGAGAGTGCTTGGCTGACACTGAGCTTTCGGCTTCCTGTCATTCCCAGCTTGGGCCAGGCCTGGGGGCAAATGCTGTTCATCCTCTTTTCACTGCCAGTGAGAAGAGGCTCCAGAGCCCTCTTGTAGTAATGCTCAAAAGTGGGAGCTGTAGCCAGGCGTGGTGGGGCCCACCTGTGATTCCAGCACTCTGGGAGGCTGAGGCAGGAGGATCACAAGTTCAAACCCTGCCTGCGAAATTTAAAGACTCAGCAGAACTCTCAAGGAAAAAAAAAGCTATGATCATCCGTCCAGCCATCACGTGGTACCTCCTCAGAGGGACCCTGTGACTGATTCTGCCTCTGGAGTAACTGAGGGCTGGCTTCCTATCCCCCTCCCCGGCCAATGCACAGCGCAGGTCTGAGCGGCGCCTTCCCTGCAGGTACCTGAAGCACACGCTGGACCAGTATGTGGAGAGTGATTACACACTCCTCTACCTGCACCACGGCCTGACCAGCGACAACAAGCCCTCGCTCAGCTGGCTGCGCGACGCCTACCGCGAGTTTGACCGCAAGTGGGTGGGGCACTGGGCATCCCGCATGGGCCGCACCCCTCCTGGGTACACAGAAGTAGGAAGTAGGAAGGGCTTGGGTTTCCATGCGATCCAGCTCCTCTGCGTATTTGCTCTCTGAGCATTCTCGTCGCTTAACCTTTCCGAGAATGAGGCACCAACAGCCTTGCCTCCTGCACCTGCAGGGACCAGCTCTAGGCTGGGCGTGGTGGTGCACTCCTGCAGTCCTGACACTCAGGGGGCTGAGGCAGGAGGATTGCTGTGAGTTCAAGGCCAGCCTAGGCTACATAGCCAGACGCTGCTTCAAAAAAAAAGAAAAAGACAAAGCAGCTCCGGCCTCCTCCCCACCCCTCGAGCTCCCTGTGCCGCCCCCACAGGTACAAGAAGAACATCAAGGCCCTGTACATCGTGCACCCGACCATGTTCATCAGAACCCTGCTCATCCTCTTCAAGCCCCTCATCAGGTGAGCGGCCAGGGCGGGCGGGGGTCCCCTGGTGCCTGAGCAGACACCGCCTGACCTGGCCATCCCTCCTGCGCAGCTTCAAGTTTGGGCGGAAGATCTTCTACGTGAACTACCTGAGCGAGCTCAGCGAGCACGTGAAGCTGGAGCAGTTGGGGATCCCTCGCCAAGTGCTGAAGTGAGGGGGGTGCGCCCTGGGGGGCAGGGCGAGCTGCAGGGTCGGAAACAAGTGCCATTGCTCGTTCCGTCATGTCTTCTTCATTCCTTCGATTTGGGTGGTTTTGTTTCGTTTTGTGTTTTCCTTTTTTTGAGACGGTATCACTGTGTAGCCCAGGCTGGCCTCTAACTTGTGGCGATCCTCCTGTCTGAGCCTCCCAAGTGCTGGGATTACAGGATAGCAGATAGGTCAGACAGCAGCATCAAACCCATTTCTGTCTCTGCCATGTGACCGAATCTTTTTTTTTTTTTTTTTTTTTGGTACCAGGAATTGAACTCAGGACCTTGCACTTGCCAGGCCGGCGCTTATGCCGCTGAGCTATATCCCTGGCCCTCCGAATCTTTTTTTGCAGTAGTGGGGGTCGAACCCGGTCCGGTGCTCATGCGACACAGGCTAGCGCTCTCCTACAGCCCAGCCCTCAACTGGATCCCCCTAGTGTGTGTTTTCTTGTGTAGAGCGTGAAGCAGGGTGTTTGAAGGTTGATGAAATAACCTGTGTAAACCCGCATAGCAAAGGCTGGATAAAGTGGGCTGTGAGGACGCAGAGCCGGACATGGGCCCTGACACTCACCCGTCTGCGCCAGGTACGACGACTTCCTCAAGTCCACCCAGAAGAGCCCCGCGACAGCCCCCAAGGCCATGCCTCCGCGGCCGCCCCTGCCCAACCAGCAGTTCGGGGTCTCGCTGCAGCAGTGAGTATGCGAAGTGGGCGGCTGGGGGCTCGGGGCCAGGCCACCTGCGGCCACTCATGGCCCTGGTCCCCAGGCTGCAGGAGAAGAACCCGGAGCAGGAGCCCATTCCCATCGTGCTCAGGGACACCGTCGCCTACCTGCAGGCCAACGGTGAGTGCGGGACCTGGCTGCCCTGGGGGCGCTGTGGGGTCCTGGCCCGGTCCAAGCCTCACCGGTCCCCTGTCTGCAGCTCTCACCACCGAGGGCATCTTCCGGAGGTCCGCCAACACCCAGGTGGTGCGCGAGGTGCAGCACAAATACAACATGGGTGAGCGAGCGGCTCCGGCCCTGAGTGCGCGTGCTGACCTCGGGGCTCCCCTGCCTTCTGCCACCCAGGGAACAGGGTCCCACATTCCCTTCCGGCAGAGGCTTGATGCCATGTGGGGTCACAGCACGGTCCCCACTGCTGCCGCCGTCCCGGGCCTGCTGTGTGGCTGCCAGGCTCATCCAGAGGCGAGGGGCAGCGGTGGGGGGCTGAGCCCGCGTTCCGGGGCCCAGAAGCTGTGTGAGGTGGCTGCGCAGGGCCGGGGCTGTGGCGGGCCTCTCCGACTGCCGTTCCCACGCAGGGCTGGCCGTGGACTTCGACCAGTACAACGAGCTGCACCTGCCGGCCGTCATCCTGAAGACCTTCCTGCGGGAGCTGCCCGAGCCCCTGCTCACCTTCGACCTGTACCCCCACGTGGTGGGCTTCCTCGGTGAGTGCCCTCTTTCCTCGCGGCTCTGCCACCTGCCGGCTGGGGGCTGGCCCGGGCCTCTCCCTGCCACCCTGTGACCTGAGCCCCGCTCCTCACAGACATCGAGGAGAGCCAGAGGGTGGAGGCGACACGGCAGGAGCTCCGCACGCTGCCCGAGGAGAACTACCAGGTGCTTCGCTTCCTGACGGCCTTCCTGGTGCAGGTGAGGCCTCGGCCCCACGGCTCCCCTGGCAAATGAGAGGGGCATTGCCCTGGCGCTCCAGAAGCGGCTGCAGGGAGCAGGGGCCGCCGCTCTGCCTCCCCGCTGCAGCCGTGCCTTCCTCCCCAGGTTTCTGCCCACCAGGACCAGAACAAGATGACCAACACCAACCTGGCTGTCGTCTTTGGCCCTAACCTGCTGTGGGCCAAGGATGCCGCCATCACCCTCAAAGCCATTAACCCCATCAACACCTTCACCAAATTCCTCCTGGATCATCAAGGGGAGCTGTTCCCCAGCCCCGACTGCCCGGGGCTCTGAGGCTCAGAGCGTGCCCTGCGCACAGCCCTCCCTGGCCGCCCCCTCATCGGACTCTTCCTCCCGGCTTCTGCCGCCGGGGAGCCGGGGCTCCTGCCAGGATGGGCTGTACAGGCTGGGCTGGGCGCCGGAGCGTGGCTGCAGTGGGCCGGCCGCTCTCCGCTCCACCCAGCCCTCCCGCCCCCAAGACCTTTATCTTCGCCTTACACTTTCACTGCCTCTCTGGGTGCCCGGCTCCTGTGGGGCTTGGTTGTTCCAGGTAGAGAAGGACTGAACCCCAGTCACCCCTTTTCTGCTTTTTTCTGCTTCTCTCTCCCTGGCAGCAGCGGATGACCAGATCCCTGCCAGCTTGCCTGGGGCGGGGCCTGGCCCGGGCCCTGATGGGCCTCTCTTTCCGATGGCTGCATAAACAGCCAAACTCCGAGGCCTGGCCTGGCCGTGCCCAGGTGCCTCCCTGTTGGGTCCAGTTACTCCGCCCTTTAGAAGTCCCAGGACACCGTGGCATGGATGCAGCCCCGGGCCACTCCTGCTCACGGCTCAGCCCTGGGTCTCCCAGCTGAGGAATGCCAGGTGGAGTCGGCTTCCTTTCTGCGGCTGTGTCCACCTTTCCCAAGTAGCATTGCCCCCAGGGGTCCTAGCCCCCTGCATCTGCTAGGACTAGTAGCTTGGATGCGAGACCCAGGGTCCACTGGGTATAGCCACATTCCCCTGTCCGTGGTGGCTCCTCCTCTGGCCAGGGGACTCGGGCTGGTGCTGAGACTCACAGTGCCCACAAGAGGGACAGACGTTTTGCTAATAGATCAGCCCCTGCAGGGGTCCTGGCAACGTCCCCAAGGGAGTCTGGTGCCTGTCGTCGTCCTTCAGAAAGCCTGGGCTCTGATGATAGCTGACATTCCTCATTTCTCCCCGGGGACCTCTCCCTGCAGCAGGGAGGTATTGAAGTGTCCCTGTGCTCACCGCAGGGGGCCAAGCAGGACCAGCACCTCCAGAGCCTGTACTGGGCGGGTCTTCCTGGACTGACCGGTGGGCTGGTTCCCTCGTTCCTGTGTCTAGGCCTGGCCTGGCCACTTGGCTCCCTGCTGCCTTTGTATATTGAGTGTTGCTCACAGCCCCATTTCCTGGGGAGCCTTTGGGATCTTTCTCCTGTCCGCTGCCCCGCTGGAGTGTAGGGGGCGCTGGTACTGTGAATTGAGTGTTCACATCCACACCGAATGACTTCCTTGGCACCAATCGTGTATCTCACTGTTTGCACTTTTTGTATTTCAATAAAAATGGGAAATTCCTGTCTGGCTGTTCTGGAAGTCAGGCGGCCTCCACGTTGAGAATTGGGTGGGAAGCAGCATGTGGTTGAGAAGAGTCCATCTGTCCTTCCCTCTGGGTCAGCTGTCCCTGAGTCAGGACAGATGTTGGACTGGCTTCTAGGCTTGGAGTAGCGACTGTCACCGTCCATGCTTCTGCACCACACGTCCCACCTGGTCACCAGGTGCTGTCAGGCTTTGCAAGGGAAACGATTTAATAGAAGACACAAAATTTATAGGATTACCAGGCATGGTGGCGCACGCCTGTAATCCCAGCACTCGGAGGCTGAGGCAGGAGGATCATAGTGAGTTTGAGGCCAACCTGAACTACGAAGTGAGTTCAAGACTGGCCTGAACTGCATAGTGAGACCCTGTCTCAAAAAGACAAAAAAAAAAAAAACCAATTATAGAGTTATTTTATAATATTCACCCAAAGAGTCAAATGCAGAGCCGGGGATATAGCTCAGCTACACAGTGCCTGCCTGGCAAGTGCAAAGTCCCAAGTTTAATTCCTAGTACCAAAAAAACCCACGAAAGAGTCAAATGCGAAAGAGCACAGGTGATCTGTCCATACCCTAGAGACCCCAGAAATCCACCTGAGGGCCTGGATCCCACAGCAGTGTCCTGCATGCATCCATCTGGAGGCCTAGAGCCCAGGACAATGTCTCATGCAAATCTGTACCTAGGATCTGCGCTGGGAATGCCCAAAGGTCAGTGGTGGAAGCTAGAAAGTCTGCCAGTGGGGTAAAGGATCCCCAGCAGGCTGGGGGATCTGCACTGGAGCCAGGAAGGATGCTGAAGGTAAGGACCAGAGCTCCCGCGAAGAGAACCGCAGCCATCCTCAGGGACAGCGAGGACCCGAGCTCCTCTGACGATGGCTCACATCAGGCTCACATCAGCGTGACAAGCTCCTCCAGGAAAACCAACAGCGTACCATCTTCCCCTCCAGCTCTGCTTCTATGCTGTGGGCCACAGTCCTCAGGTGGGCCCTCCATGCCCAGCACCCGCTGATTCAGTTCCGCTGGGCGTTACAAGGTGACCACCCGCCATCAATCCCCCACACGCCGTATCCAGGACAGGGCCTCTCCTGCCTCGAACCAGAGGGCACTGGATGCCCGGTGGGACTTAGGGTTCTTTAAGGGAGGCAAAGGGGGAAGACCTGGAAGCTGGGAGAAGAGTGGACTGGGGTGGGCACCAGCTGGGGTTTAGTCACACCAGGCAGCCCTGGTGGGTGACAGTCATGGAACTGGCCCCACTCCTGAGGACCGCAAATAACACTGACAGTACATGCAAAGGAGTATGCGGTGGTAGAATGACTCAGGGAAGGGAAGTGATGGTTCCAACCTGTGGCAACGGACTGGGACTGCCCCCTCCTGACCTCTTACCTCCCTGCCCCTTAGCCTGGGGGCAAGGCTGCTTTCCCCTACCTACCCCCTACTCACGTGGAGGCTATGGAAGGCCTGGTTTTTCTTTCCTCTACTGAACATTTTGCTTTGCTTTAAAGGCGAAGGTAGGGCTGGGGATCTAGCTCAGTGGCACAAGCGCCTGCCTGGCAAGCGCAAGGTCCTGAGTTCGATTCCTGATACCAAAAATAAATAAAGGCTAAGGTAGTAAATATAAGCCAGATATAATTCCTGTACTTGAGGATCCTGAGTTTGAGGTCAACCTGGGCTACATTGGGAGACTCAAAAAACAAAACAAAAATGATGGCAAATGTTAAGCGTGTGGCTTCATGGTACAGCCCTTGCCCAGCATGTGCTGAAATGCAAGGTTCTGTCCACAGCACCACGAGAAAGGGAAAAGATGTTACATTTATGTATATTTTAGAAGTTTCTTTTAATGGTCCGTCCGGGGTGGGAGGGGTAGGAGGAAGCATGTCACCTGGCACATTGCTCAAGGTCAAGGTCCAAGTGTGCCGTGTGCCTTCCAGGTGCAGCCATGAAGCTATGGTGGCCTGGCTGGGCCTGCTTTCTCCTCCCTCCTTGCTTTGCAGGGGAAGGCTGGCTGGAGCTGCAGGCTCAGGCAGCCTCGGGACGCTAAAGTCGTTCATTGTACAACCACCAGGAGCTCGGGGCAGGAGGCACTGGCAGCTCTGAGCTGGGCGACAAGCATGGAGGCGGGGGCCTAGGGGAGCAGGAGCAGGAGCTGTTTACTTGGACTCTGGCGGGGCCTCTGGTGACTTTAACAAGGCGTCTGAGACAGCAGGTCTCAGGGGTGGAGCACAGGCACTGCACGGGCAGCCGAGCACTTAGCTCAGTGGGAATCCCCACGGGAGGGGGTCACCAGAACAGTGTTGCCACCATTTCTCACCAGCGGGTGGACAAGGGTGGCAGCTGGCTGTAAGGCCCGCTGGCACGGGCAAGGTCGCAGGCCCTTCGTAACAAGCACACCTCCCGGCCCCTCGCAGGCCGGCCCTGTCTCCTCTGCACCAGGCTTTGGGCTCAGTTGAGGCTTTGTCTTTTGGTCCTGGAGCCTGCCAGAGATGAGGGAGGGAAGCCCTGAGAGCCGTGTCCAGTTCTGACTGGTGACTTCCCTGTGTATTCAGAACCATCTCTGCCTCTGGACCATAGGCCCTGGCTTCATGCACGCACACGCACACCCGGCTTTGCTAGGGCCCATCGGCACCCTCAGCCACACGGACTGACCCGCGGCGCTCTTCCCGGATCCTCTGCCGTCGGTCAGCCCAGGGAAGCAACACTCGGTCCCTCTCCCTTCCCTCAGCTGCCCAGTCACAGCTGTCACTCCACCAGCACCTGCTCCCCTAGGCCAGTGTTGAGAAAGAACTGAGGACAAGCCAGATACGACTGTGTGCGCGTGTAGTCCCAGCACTCAGAGAGCCTAAGGCAGGAGGAAGTCAAGTTTGAGCTCAGCCCAGGATACCTGGTAAATTAGTAACAGCCCGCCTGAAAACAAAGTATCAACAGAAATCAAAATAGGTGTGGGATGTAGCTCAGTGAAGGCCCTGGGGTCAGGCCCTAGTAGAAAAAAAATTACGGAGTACGTGTCCTATACTGGGTCTCACTACTCAAACACAAAACCCTGTGGTGGGAACATTTGAGGAAAACAAGGCTCCGGGAAGCTTCCTGACCAACCGCACTGCCTGACCCTGAAACCCTTCTGCCCTTCCCGTGGGGCCTGGGGGTGACACAGGGCCGGCCTAGGTGTCCAGACAAGCTGCAGGACCAGAAATGTTAAAGTACAGAAAAACCTTTATTGGAAATCTCTGAATACAGTTTGAAGTGCCGCTCAGCTACTTCCCAAGGAGGCCGGAGGGGGAGGAGCTGAGCCACCTGGAGAGAGACGACTGGTCCTGGCCTGGACAGGCACGGCCCTGTCCACAGGGCTCAGGGCGAGGACCAGCCTTGATGTCGCTTTGCTCCTCCTGGCCCAGCTTGAGGTCAGGTCCTGGCCTCCCCGGCCGCTTCCTGGGTGGGGAGCTGGAGAAAGGCTGGGCCCGCAGGGGCCGTATCAGGGGGGCCGCAGACTGTTGTGGATGGCAGGACCAGGCTTTTCATGCAGGACTCGGGCAGAGGGCGGCGGCTGAGATGGGGGCGTCCGCGATGCACCAGGTTCCCCCGCCCAGGCTGCAGCTGGGGAATCTGATGGGTTCGGCAGCCACGGACACACCCGGGCTGAGGCGGGAGGGCCAGCTGGCCACCGCCCAGGGCACTTCCCTGTGGCAGGAGAAGCAGGCACAGCCAGGGTTCCCCTGAGTCTGCTCCGCCTCAGCCAGCCTCAAGAGCAGGGACGCTGTCACATGCAGTTTACTGACAAAGCAACCCAGGGCCACCTGCCAGCTGCTGCCACAACACCTGGCCGGGAGGCCGGGCAGGCCGGGAGAGCAGCAGGCGAGGCACCTGACCTGCTCAGGTGATGGTACTTTAAGGGCAACAGTTAGCTGCCGGTCCAGCTTTCGTTTCTCAACGGGGGATCAGCGCAGGGCAGCGTCACAACCTAGATTCCAGGAAGCGGCGGCGGCCAGGCCCAAGTTGCAGTAGGAGCAGAAGGCGCTCCAGCCACAGAGGCACAGGCAACGTGCTTGGGTACCACAGCGGCACAGCTCTGGGGTCCTCACGGTAGCACCCAAGACGTCTGGGCTGCTGGAACTGACACAGCTGCTGTGGAGGCGCTGAGAGACCGGGCACTCGCCAGGACACCTGTGGTCATCAGGGACGCCGCGATCCTGACCTGGGGTCGCTCTGCTCTCTGCTGGCCCATCTTGGCTCCCGTCCTTGGCTCCTGCCCTGTGCGCAGGCACAGGAAGACCTTGGGAGCGGCGGCCCAGGTTCTGGGGATGCTCCTGAGCGGCAGGCCTCCGCCCCAGGAGGAAAATAGCCACTTCCAGTGGTTTCCTCTATAAAATATCTGATTTCTCTGAAAGTAATAAATATTTACCATTCCTATAACCAAGGAGCCGCAAAGGGGAGGAAGAAGCTCTGCTGGGACTCTGGGTGACAATGCTGGGGACGCGGGATTGCGAGCTGAGGAGCTGGGCACAGGCAGCCGCCAGGGGTGCACAGACCCCGAGGAGGGGCTGGCTCGACGGTCCAAGGTGGCACAACCTCACCAGGCACCCTAGGTACGGCTGGTGCTGGCGCTGTCACCGTGGGCAGGCAGGCTATCATACTGCCAGAAACACAGGCACGGGGGCAGAGAGCAAGAGGAAGCCGACCCTGGGAACTGGGGAGACAGAGAACCCCAAGACCCCCTCTTCCTCCCAGCACTGCCCGCTTCCTCTTTCTGCCTGGACCGTCTCGGCCACCAGTGGGAATGTCGAGTGGTTGATGGCCTGGACAGACAGGCAGGAGGCAGAAGTGGACAACACCCTTGTGACACAGTCAGCGACAGGCGGGGTGCAGAGACGGCCCTGCTGCGGCCCTTGTTGCAAAGGGTCTTCCTTCTCCAAGGCCAGTGGGGGGGTCTCTAGGAAGTGCGGAGCTGGGGCTTCCGGGCTGCCCCGGGGAATCGTCCTGCCGTCCACCTGGCTGGGAGCAGCGGGAGGGACAGGCGCGGTTCTGGCCTCCGGGACCACAGAAAGGGGTTGCTGCTGGTACTGGAGGTTACTTTTACTGCAGCGTTTCCACAAAGGCATCGAATTCTCGAACATTCTTTTCGTGCACAGCCAGCTTCTCGGGTAAGGAATCCTGTCGGGGAGAAGAAGAGAACCGCTTATTTGGGCCACTGACCCGGTCCCAGGGACACAGGCAGGGCTCTAGGCAGGCCAGCTGCACGGGCATCAGGATGGGGAGGGACATGTCCATCTGCTTTGCACACAGCCTGGGGAATCCACGAGGGTCACACACTCAGTGACACGGCAGACAGACCACACGCAGAAGGGCTTAGCACCGAGCTTAACCGGAAATATCCACGGCACACATCAGACTGAAACTACATAGCACTGCAAGTTTAGAGCGCTCTGAATTAAGCAAAGTTTCTTTACACCCTTCTCCGGGCCCCAGAATCCCCAAAGAGGAACAGGACAGCCCCAGGGCACCACCTGGGCAGGGCTGGGAGGCCTGGGCACCTGCATCTTCACACCAGCCCGGGGGCGAGAGTGACAGCACATGAGAGCCGTAGCGGGACAGACAGCGGGCGACAGAAGGGGTGTGGAGCCTCTCCAGCCTCGAAACCTAGCGTGGCCCAGACACCAAGGTGGGGCTGGGCACTTGGTGGTTCTGGCTGAGGACACAGTGAGCGCACAGGACCCATGTCTTCCTGCGTGCACGTTACATGACAGGAGGGACAGTTGGGGCACACAGTGAAACTCAGGAGCCAAACCCTTTGGGATCAGGACTTCAGTTGGCTGTGTGGCCACAGGCAAGTTATGCCGGCATGGATTGGCTTTCTGTTCTGTGGGCTGGGATAAGAAAACCTGCCTCGGCCAGGCGTGGTGGTGTAGGCCTGTAATCCCAACACTCGGGAGGCTGAGGCAGGAGGATTGCTGTGAGTTTAAGGCCACCCTGAACTACACAAGGACACCTTATCTCAAAAAAAAAAAAGAAAACCTCCCTTTCAGGACAACTGAAGATTCATAAAGAATGAGTGTGGCTCATGGTCGCCAAGTCGGCACCAGGCCTTGGGTTCCATTCCCAGCGTAGCCAAAGGGAAAGAAAACGCGGGGTGCTGGGGCAGTCCCAGTACCTGTCAGTAAGAGGACCGCCACTGTGCCTCTCCCACTGTTCCTATTAATACACGTAGCCTTCTGTCCAACCAAACCACGGGCAGCCACTCCCAGGCCTCTACTGGCAGAGGGGAGAGACCTGCCTCATACAGGGGGACGGCGACACCTCAGGCACAGGGCATCCCGTTTGTGGTTATGAGGGCGCTCGTCTGCCTTCACAGGCCGCAAGCGGAAACGCCCTGAGCAGAGAGGTGGCCGTTACAGTCGGCAGGGGATATCTGGGCGTGCATGAGAGCCGCCAGAAGAGCTGCAGCTCCAAGCAACGGCAGAACAGACTCTCAGACCGTGAGTGCCTCTGCCCTGCACAGCGGGCACCTGGCTGGGAGGTGACAGAGCCTGATGCCATGAAAGCAGCTCGAACAGGAGCGAGCAGGTTACGCCGAGAACATGCAGAGAAAGGAAACTGGGCGCGAGCCAAGTCCAGCTAACGACTGCAGCACCGTGAGAGTACCCAGTGTGACCAGGAGACAGCAGCCCGCATCTCACACGTCTCCTTCCGGTGAGAGAGGCGCCAGGAGCAGCCGGAAATGTCCGGCCTGTGGCACAGAAGTGACCATCGAATGGGGCCGTGGGGGCGTTCCGTACCAAGTCTTCCGCCATGGACTGTGCTCCAATGTCTATGGAGAGGCTGCTCAGCTGAGGCGGGTTCTGAAACTCACGGTAGAAGGTCCCCAAGTCCATCGGCAGGATGTCGTCTTTAGAAAAAGCTGGTTTCTTCAAAAATAAGACATACTCATTTAGCTTGCCTCGGAGCGCAAAGAGAAGTCCAAAATAAACTGCGAACAAGTCTGTTTCCTTCCAGGGACTATCCAGGAAAAGACAGTTGTGGGCTCATTTGAGGGAGAGGACTCTTTACACCTTGCTCTTCTGGACTGCTGACCTCTAACCCTGGGGACACTCTTCCTTCCCCAGCAGCGTTTCTGTCCCCTTAGTCACACAACTTTCCTAAGCAAAAGGCCACCATGCAGGCATGAACAAGACCCCAGGGGAACCACTGGGAAATCTCCATTGAGAGCTGAATGCTAACCAGACATGGCAGGAAATGCCTTACTGTTCCCAGGGCCCTAAGGTCTCCCCAAGGGGAGCAGGGCAGAGTCCCCTTACACCCTCGGCTATACGGCCCAGCCCAGCCCAGCACATCCGGAGAGGGAACTCGCTCCTGCTCAAGCCCAACAGACACCTCCAGCTTTACCGTTGCTGGGGCGCAGTCAACTTACGAAGTCGATCATGACGAAGTCATCATGCGGGTTGCCGCTGCTGCCCCCACTGGAGCCCTCGGAGTGCAGGCTGCCGTGGAGTGGGGAGGCGGCCTCTGGTGAGTCTGGAGGGTTCACCTGGTGCAGAAGAGGCAGTTAGGACGGAGGCTGTGAGCTGGGCGCCCATCCCTGCTCACACCTGAGGATTCTATAAGGAGCCTGGTGCTGGCCGCAGAGGCCCGGGCTGTGGGGGACTTAGCTACCATGGCCCAGGAGATGGGTGACGACCACACGATCTATGTAAAACTGCCAGTCACTGGTGTGCTCACCATAGGGTCGGCGTCCTCCAGCTCCAAGTTCTTGGGTGCAAACATAGCAAAGGGTATGTCCAGGCTCGTCAGAGTCACCTATGGAGCCATGGGAGAGAAGCGTTTGTGCCTGGCCCTCCCCTCCCCCTGCCGGCCAGCTGCCAGGAGTGCTGCCCACACTTGCACAGGCTGACCACGCTGTCCCCGCCACCCCGTCCCCCACCACAAACGCCCACGGTGCGCACGGGGCTGGGCTCCTGAGGACCCCGCCCGGGAAGTGGGCTCTGCAGTTCCCGAGGTAGCCCAGGAACCAAGACCCGGCCTGCTGAGGCACCTCCAGCTTCAGGCAGGCCCGAGCCAACGGCACCCGGACACAGGAAGCTTCGGGCTCGCAGTGCAACACACGATGCTGCCACTGCGAGGTTCCTGCCCTCAGGCCTAGCAGGGACAGGAGTCCTACCTGGTTGATGGGCTTGTTGACAAAAGCCCCCACCTTCCGGACAAAGATGGTCTCCAGGACGTCGTGGGGGGAGGCCCGGCCCTCGCTGCTGTTGGAGACGGTTTCGGTGCCCTCACTGGAGGAGAAAGCAAAGCGGTGTCACCCACACTCGGCGCAATGACCTGCTTCCCCGGGCCGACCCTCTCGGGCAGGAATTGGCCCCCGGCCACCCTGGGGGGACAGAGGGCTGTGGTATGGCTGCCCCCCTGCACCACCTCATGTACTTAAGCGGAGGACAGCAGGGGACACGCGAGAGGCTTCAGGGCATAGCTGAGTAAAGGCCGGGTGATGAAAACCCATGACCACGCAGTGCCAGAGATAGGGACAAGCAGCTCTCAAACAGCTGCAGCTGCAGTGTTCCATGATGCAGCAGACCCCACGGTCCAGCTGCCCTTTCCTCTTTGCTATCTAAGGCCGCCACAAGGCCTGGCAGCGTACAGTACCACGTCACTCAAGCCTCACCTTGCCAGGGACACCGGCACTGTTCACAATCAGAGGCCAGCAGCACCATCGCTTGGAGCCCCCGTCAGCTCCCCACGCGCCCTCCCGTGCTTCACCTCCTGTCCCCGCCCTGTCGGGCCTCCACTCTAAAGCCCTGAATGACACCAGCGCCCTGCCCCTGCCACACCGACGCGCACACTGGGCCCTGACCTGGGTTCTGCAGTGGCTGCCGGCCCTGCAGACTGGAGAGGTCGTCCCGGCTGGCCATACAGTCCAGGCACCCTTGTGGGCAGGAAGGCTGTGCGAGCGACTGCGGCAGCAGTCGGGTCAGCCACAGGCACCAGGCCAGGCTTCAGTGTGCTTGGGACTCGCATCTGACCCTAATCTGACCCCGCAGGGTTTTTTGCCATTAGCTACTCCTGGACATGTCCCAGGGGTCAAGACTCAGACAACTGCAGTGTAAAATGACTAACAGATCTTCCTTTGATCATTCAACCTTGGGGGCGAGGGAGAAAGGGTGGAGTCTGAAAAGCCAGGAATTTCCTACAGAATCACCCCAAAAATCTTCTGGAACGATCACCCTCCCGCCACCCCCACTGCGGCAATGGGAGAGACCCTAGGATCCCTATGCCGAGACCATTCATCCAGCGGGGGCGAGCCCACGGCACACGCGCCACAGCTGGCTGTTTGTTCTCACTGAAGGCTCTAAGAGATTCGCCAGCTCTGCTATGTGGGCAGGGCAATCTTGTTATCCCCTGGGCCATCGACTGCAAGGAGAAGCAGCTAGGCCAGGCAGAGCTCTGGAGCTCTCAGGAAGAAGGGACAGGTGCTCCGGAGTCGGGGTGCACCCGTGTTCCAGCTGTGTGGCAAGCCCAGGCGACCTCAGGCCAGTCCCTCTCTATACTGCTTTGTGGTGAACCCTGTCATCTTTTTTGAAAAAAGTGATAGCAGTGACTTGTTTATTTGAGACAGGGTCTCACTATGTAGCCTAGGCTGGCCTTGAACTCACAGTAATTCTGCCTCAGCCTCCCGAGTGCAGGGATTACAAGCATGCACCACTAGGCCCGGCCAACAGTGGTGAATTCTGCAAGGCAGAAACATGAGAACTATTACTTCCTACTTAGTAACTACCTTTCTCATCTGAATTTCATAGAATGTATCACTTTGTTACTGTGGCTCGACTTAAAAGCTTTTTAAATGAAAAAATGGGCATTTCCAAAGAATGTCAATGAGGCTCTAATTCAAAGAAAAACAGAATCACACCCACAGGTGCACCTTGGCCCCAGACCTCAGGGTGTGGTAAGCACCTGTTCTGATCCTCAGGCCACGAACTGCTTCCAGCAGGAGCCTGGGGTAAGAAAAGACACCGGACAATCTCCACTGGGTGGAGCAAGACCCAGACAGGACCAAGCCCCGTCTCCCGCTGGCAGAGCTTCCTTACACACCGAGGCCGAGAAAGGTAAGGTTCCTGAGGAGTTGCAGGAGTCCCCATTTGGGGTCCAGCTGAGCCTGTGTGCGTCAGGCCCTCCCACCCGGCCACGCCCCATGGGGACTCACCTGCTGGAAGGTGTGGCAGCACAGTGGGCCCCATCAGAAGGGGTGTGGGTCCCCAGTTTCTCTTGGTCTGCCTGGGAGCCGTGGGCAGGCTGGTTGGGAGCCACAGGCACCCCGCCTTCCTTCCCAGGAACCATCAGCTGTGGGGAAAATGCAGACACCTGAGTGATAGCAGCGTCAGGCAGCAGGGGACCCTCAGGGTCTGGCTGGGTGGCGCTGCTTCCAGCCTTCCCACGACCAATGCCACCACCAGGTGGGCAGACATCCTTATCCTCTCTGGGACTTGGGAGCTGGCAGACACGCGTGATGACTACACAGGGACAGGGAGGGAGAAACCCTGGGAAGTCCGTCCTTTCCTCTTTGATTCCGGACACTTGCACGCCATCTGTGTCCTCAGAGGGCAGGGGAGGCGGCCCAGCAGCCCGTCCCCAGCTGGAGATACCTGGTGAGGGTGTGGCACGTTTAGACCAGCAGCGAACACTACTGGGTAAGCCAGGTCAGCTGATCCAAGGCCCAGGACAGCAGGCTGATAGGAAAGGCGAGAGCTTGAGAGCTGAGCAAGAGAAAAACAGAGGGGCAGAGGACAGGCAGGAAAACAGGCCGTGGAGACGGGGACAGACAACCCCAGGAGAGGGAAGGAACGGATCCCTGCCCTGGCCCACAGCAAGGGGCCACGAAATGCGGCGGGCAGGCCTCTGGATCCCTTGCAGATGAGAAGCACGGAGACTGTCCGCCCCAGGATTGGGAGCCCTGGCTCCAAGGCTCCAGAGGCCTCAGATGAACTCCTGGCGGCCCCTTCCCCAGGGTGCAGCTAATACTTCCATTCTGAGCCCAGCAGATCTGCGGGCCACAACCCGGACAGAACTTGCAGCCAAAGTCATCCGTTTTTCCAAAGCCATTCTATTTTTTCCTCTGTCCTTGAGGTCCCTTTGGAATAGAAGGCATCTTTTCTAAACACACCCTCCCATCACCCCTGGGTAGGGGTGGGTTCCTATTTATACCGAAAAAAGAAAGGCCAGTCTTGAATTGTTTATTTGGAAAATTGATATAAATAACTTCATGTATCTTTCACATAACAGAAGGAGGGACAAATGCAAATCCCTATTTTGGGCTTCCGGGCTGTGGCTGTGTCCTGTTAGCCTCAGTTCTGCAGCTCGGAATGCTTCCCCGGAACGCCTGCGGCTGCTCAGACCACACCACCTGGGCTCGGTCTCAGGTGAGAGGGCAAGTCGCGGTCTGCTCGCGGTCTGCCAAATCCCCTTCTGCCCATGATGAACTCACTTGATGGGAAAAGGCCAGTCCTGCCATGGGAACCCTCAGAGTGTCCGTCACCACAGGAGTAGGGGTCTGAAAATGTGCCTTTGTGACAGTAAACACACACTGTGCACAGACACACACACAGACAGGAACACAAGAGAAGAAAAAAGAAAAGGGACTTGAGAAAGACACGAAATATCTCCGAGAGGCAGCAGGGAGGCCGGAGGGAGAGTGGGACCCGGGAGGGAGAGGGTGGCCGGGGCACTCCAGCTCCCAAGGGCCAGCGTGGAGGGTCCCGGAAGTGACGTGTACCCCAGGGCGCACCGACACGCATCTCCCAGATGAGCAGCGGGGAGAGCGAGCGAGCTCAAGAGGGTTTGACCTGGCGAAGCGAAGAAGCCTGACCTGAGCACTAGTGCGCTGTGAGTGGGCAGGGTTCGAAGGCGCGTGGCAGGAGGGCGACCACGGACAGGCGCGGGGCACTGGGCGGGGCCCACAGTCTGCAAGAACAGACCGACCCAGCCTCAGAAGCCGGCGCTGACCCGGGGGGAGGCCAAGTTGAGAAGGTACGAGAGGCAGGTGCATGTCTGCGTTCGTGCCTGCGGGTTCGTAGTCCCCAGTGGTGGGGGACAACGTGGCAGAGGAAAAGCAGGGCCCTTTCAGAACTCTTCCGATTCTTTTCTTTCTGAGGTAACATTTCACTAGATGGCCCAGGCTGGTCTCAAACTCACAATCCTTCTGCCTCAGCTTCTCAAGAGCTCGGGTTACAAGGGTGCAACACATGGCTAGCTCAAAAGCCTTAGGACTTCACAGCTACTTATGGAAAAGAGGATCACATGGGGCCCTGCTGTTCTATCCTTAACTCTGTTTGTTTGTTTGTTTTTTTTCCGGTACCGGGAATCGAACTCATGATCTTGCACTTGCCAGGCAGGTGCTGTGCCACTGAGCTAAATCCCCAGCCCCGATCTTCCTGCTTCAGCCTCCCCAGTGCTGGGATCACAGGTGTGTGCCACCATGCCCAGCTGTCAGCTCTTTTGTTAGGGTCTTGCTAAGAGAGACCAGGCTTGCCTCGAACTTGCAATCCTCCTGCCTCATCTTCCTGGCAGGTATGGGTGACAGGCATGCACCAACACACTGGCAACTACTGCTTTTGAAACAGTGGAGAGGCATGATTTCGATATGGTACCTCCAAAATAACCCAGAATGGAGAAGTTTACATATTTCCACAATTAAAAATTATAACTAAAGAAATTAGAGAGCTAATGAATGAGTCATACCCACAACGAAGGCGAAAGAGAAGCATGGAGGATGGTTTAAGGTGCAGAATGGGGGCAGGGCTAGAAGAAACCGGCTGATGAGACAAAGTGGAAGAAGCCCATGATGGAGCCGGCAGGGAACAGAGGGAGCTGGAGGCAAGGGGTGGGAGCGGCCCTGCAACAGTCAGCAGCAGGAAAGGGGTGCCTAGCACAGTGGTCCTTGGCTCCTGCCTGTGAGACGAGACCACGAGAAGCTTCCTGTGGGGCAGCTGCTCACATTTTGGGGCCACATTTTATTGATTGATGATTTAATTAATGGTAAGGGTTAATGGTAATTGATTAATGGTAAGGCTGCTGGTTAGAATACTGAGATAGAGAATACAGAAAGGCAAATGTCTGTCATTATAAAAGCTACACAGTAGTTTCTCACTGTTTTTTTTTTTTTTTTTGCTTTGTTTTGGTATTGGGGATTAAAGCTAATGCTAAACCCCCAGCCTTCTCCTTATTTTTTATTTTAAAACAAGGGTCATGCCAATTTTCTATGTTGTTCATGCAGGGCAGGAACTTGTGAGACCGCTGCCTCAGTCTCCCAGAGTGCTGGGATTACAGGCGTGCGCTACCATGCCCAGCTTCTTACCGGCATTTTTCACTAAGTAAGTACTGGCTATTTTGGGGCTCTTTCCATGATGAGAAACCAAATTTACCACTTAAGCAGAGAAGCTCACTAAATTAGCAGGTGTGGATTACAGAACCTCACTGATATCTGAATGCATTTGATTTTGTGACTGATTTTCAACGGAACTGGACGTCATCGGCGGGAAGGTAATGGCTAATTGTAATTTGGTGAGTTAAGATGGTTATGACTAGGATTGCTGCAAGATTATGGGCTTATTACGTGCTGCGTCAGTCTCTCTGTCGTTCATCACAACCCTTGAAACAAATCCTCACACAACCAAAGGGACTGGAGTGTAGGTGAACGTGGACCCAATTTCACACACACACACACACACACACACACACACACAGTAGTAACCATCAGCAGCCCAGAACACATCTCCCTACCTGCGACGGCGGGGAGGTGGAGAACGAAGTGGTACACACTTCCTGAGAGTCTTCTACGGATGGGTACACTCCACCAGCATCCTCGCCAGCAGTTCTGCAGGAGGGGAACAGAAACGGAGAGCTTTCTAGGTTGGGTAAGGATGGGGGTTGGGTCAGGAACTTTCAGGTAGAGTTTATAATGCCTAGAAGTCACTTAATAATGTACCCAGAATAGTCCACAAATTACTGGTACTCCTGTAATCTCCAGTAGCTTGCTATACAGAACACTGTTACCATCAAGATGTAAATGCCCGATGTTTTCTGAAACATTCTGTGTGCCCCACATGGTAGTGTACCTAACCAGAAGCAGTGAGAACAGAGGGAAGTAGCCCCTCCATTTCTATCCAGGGGGTAAATGGCCATGCTGGTTCTACTGTGCACTGGGAGGTGCCATCCACGCGCCTCACCTGTAACTGCAGGGGTGTCTGGGAGAGGAGCTGGGGTAGGGGCGGTCCACAAAGTGATCAATGATGATCCCCATGATAGGTGGGGTCCTCTCAAATTGCCTAGACAACAAGCAAAATGCAGTTTAAAAGAAAGTGAAGTAATTTGCACCAGGACAATAGAAAAAATGGCTTAAGGGCATGTCAGGAATCCATAAGGCCCCACCACTTCTAGGCTCAAAATTATACACGTGAAAGACTTCGCTTTCATAAGAGAGCCCCAGGGCAGTGAATTCTAGAAGTGCAGATTCAGTTTATAGTGTTTAGTCATTCAGGCATTTACAGGCCTCTGGAGCCATGATCCAAGAGGGCCTGGATACTGCTCAAGCTGACAGCAGAGCTTGGCATCATCCACCTAGTGCTGGCCTTACAGGCATGCAATATGCAAGAGTAACGGGATCAAGTAAGCTTCCACCTAGATTTCAGAAGGCCTGGGAGGCCAGGGAGTGTGCCCATGAGAAGGTAATGTGTGAAGCTGTGAGAGTGAAGCTAAGAGTACAGTGTAGACCTTAAAAAGCTGCAGAAGCCAGGAATGTGGAACATCTGAGGAAAGCTGCAAGGAATGAGCAAAGCAGCCCGAGAGAGAGGCCATGAGGCCTACAACCACCAGCAGTGCCATAGGAGTGAGGCCACTTCCCAGCCCCCGTGAAGACGTTGAAGGGCCCCTCACTTTCTGTCTACTGGCCTTAGCTATTGCAATCTCTGTGTAAGCCAACTCTACATTCTAGACACGCTGGCTCTGGGACTCTCAAATTCTCCAATCTGACAATAATGCACTCTCACTCGGAGAGTTCATTCTTCAGAAGGGGCTGCTTTCAGTACCGGCAAAGCTGCACTCCAGATGCTGTCAGGGGTTTGGGGAAGGCAGGAGCTTCAGGACCGCTGGAGAGTTCTCTTGGATTCTAAGGCTCCTCCTTACCTGGTGGACATGAATGCCAAGTTGATTCTGTAAGCACAAGAAAGAGTGATGGTGCCCACAGGGGTGCCCACTGTCCCAACGCGAACTGTCTGGAAGCCTAGAAGAGAGACATTATTAGCCTTTTTCCAGAGAATGCTGACACTGTCCCTGGCCGTCACTCTGAATCATTCAGCCTGCTGTACGCTCTCTGGCATTATTCGCTTAGCACCAAAAGGGTAGCAGCCTCCACTGTGTGTGTGTGTGCATGTGTGTGTGTGTGCATGTGCATGTGTGTGTGTGTGCGTGTGTGTGCGCGCGTGCGCACACACATGCGCACACATGCATACTGGTATTTTGCTCCTTTCAAAGTACTCAATACTGACCCCACAAGGGTGGACGAAATGGCACTCATTTCCAGGTAAAACTAGGTTCAAAGGAATAAGAAAGATACTCTATACAATCAGAGAAACTTCTCTAGTAACATACTTTAGAAATGATCCCTGAAAGTGTAGCCTTAGGAATAAGCAGGAATATGAAGTTCATGAACTTGTGGGGAAATCTCCTTGGACCACCTACATGTCCATCTCTTCCTTACTCCTCTTACGCGTCCTGAGCCTGTAACCCCAGATTACACAGGGTGCTCAGCCCCTCTCTGAAGGCAGCAGTGCTCTTAACATTACCATGTTTTTCCACCTCACTCCGACCCATACCTTCTCCTAAGCCATTCAGCTGAACTTCCCCAAAGTATATCCTGTAGGGAAGAAAGAAAAAGAAATGTTACCTGTTCCTATGATGTGATTTAAAAGTTTGCATACTGGGAGATAAAAATATGTAAATGAATTTGACAAACAGACCTTTAACTGCTACTGGAAGGTATGAATTATGATAAATGGGCTTCAACTATGAGGAGCTCTGCCTTTTTTTTTGGTACTGGGAACTGAACTCAGGACCCTGCTGAGCTAAATCCCCAGCCCCTCTGCCTTCTTGTAACAAGTTATTCCCAAATAAGTGGGTTAAGAAAGAATAAAATCTTGAGCCAGGCATGGTGGTACATGCCTATAATCGCAGATCTCAGGAGGCTGAGGCAGCAAGACTGCCCTAGTTCAAGGCCAGCCTGAACTACATAGCAAGGTCCTGTCTCAAAAAACAAAACAAAACAAAACAACAACAAAATAAACCCCAAACAAACAAACAAAAAAAAATCTTTTCTACCATGAAATAATTAACTAGGTAAGAGTATTCTAAAACAATTAAAATATAGGCCAGGGATATACCCCATATCAGCACAAGCACAAGTACCTGCCTGACAAATGCAAGGTCCTGAGTTTGATTCCCAGTACCAAAAAAGAAAAAAAAATTTAAATATGAAATAGAATATGAAACCAAGTATGGTAGCCCACATCTCCTAGCACTCTGGGAGGCTGAGGCAGGGGGATCCCAAGTTTGAGCCCTGCATGGGCAACTGAGCAAATTAGTGAGACTCTGTCTCAAAAATTAAAGATAAAAAAGGGGCTTGGAATGTAGCTAGTATAAAGGTCCTTAGTTCAATCTCCTGTAGTACCAAAAAAAAAAAAAAAAAAAAAAGAAAGTAATAAAAGAGATCATCCACTTCTTTATAGTTCAAACCACAATCATTTGTATCTAAAATCACTTCTACATGGTTAAACATCTAGGAAGCAGCACTGATTACTCTACAGATGCAAGATAAAGGAAGAGGTCCTAGAAAACTAAGCTCATTTTAGTAGCACCGTAGAGCAGCTTGTATAGGAACAACAGGCAAGTGGGCTCGGCACCCGTGAGAGATGTCAGCACGAGGAAGCAGTTTTCAGTTGTGTCTGAATTCAAGTCTAGTCATTTTACAATGGAAGGCTCAACTTCCTATCTAGGAGAACTACAGAGAAAGCAAGTATTTGCTAGTCTTGGAAAAATAAGCATAATTGGGGTTCTCAGGTCATTTCCAAGAATGTGAGGACAACCTGGTGAGGGTTCTCGGGGTGCAGTGACGCCAGCAGGCGTAGGAGGCCGCTGCGTCTGGCTGCGCTAACACTGCAAGTCAGAGGCCACACACAGCAGCTCATGAGAGTCTGCGAGCACTCCGCTCCGGAGCCACAGTTCTCCCTGTCCTGCGCTGTCCCATACTCTACTCCTCCCCTCGGACCCTGTGACAGCCTGCACACAGCTCCGTCCCTCACTTTCCCGCCGCCAGCTGTTGTGAGGCCGTCACTCCTGCTGCGGGCCTCTCTGCCATGGTCCAGCTCATGGCCGGCTCCTCTAGGGTGTCTGCCGTTTCTTCCCTCTGTTTTCCCGCTCCCCTGTTCCGGATACTGCTCTGCAGCTTTGACTCCTGCACTCAACAAAACGTGTCAAACTCCGCTTGTGGCTCTGTGTAACCCTACTGGTTAGCTGGCCCAGACCTCAAGAGAACAGCATCAACAAAGAAGCGCAAGAGAAACATCCCAAGGAAGATGCTCAGCTAACTGCTGACCAGCTTTCTATCTCCACAGACAAATAATTTAACACTTACGTTAAGCTAGCAGTTTGTCAGACAGAAACTTTGACTTTAGCACTGGAACGCAGGAGGCTGGGGAATATTCCGAGGATAGCCTCGTTGGTTGTTGGTTTGCCTTTTTTTTTTCTTTTTGGTTCTGGTGATCAAACTTAGGGCCTTCAGACTGAGCTACATCCCCAGAAACTATTTTTAAAAAGGTATCTATTTCACTCATGTATAGCTCTATGTATTTTCTTTAGAAACCACTTTGAAGATACCAAAGTATAGTACAACAACCATTGATAATAACCTACCACTTGGGGCTGGGGATTTAGCTCAGCGGCAAAAGCGCCTGCCTGGCAAGCGCAAGGTCGTGAGTTCGGTTCCCGGTACCGGAGAAAAACCAAAAAAAAAAAACAAAAACAAAAACAAACAAACAAAAAATAACCTACCACTTATGTCTGTAACTCACTATTATTTGTCTATTTATTTTCCTGAGAAACTATCTTGTAGATAACAATGTGTAAAACAACCACTGATAATTTTCTACCACTTTGTCTGTAATTCGGTAAGCCCCCCTATTACTATGTTATCCTTCTTTTACTCTTTAAAATTAAAAAAAAAGACATCTATTCAATTGTATTTATTTACACACACATACATGTTTTGAGACTGGGTCTTGCTAATTTTCCCAGACTGGACCTGAATTTATGATCTTTGTGTCTCAGCCTCCCAAAGTGTACCAACGTGCCCAGCTACGATGACTTTTTTTTTTATCTTTTTGAGATAGGGTTTCACTAGGCAGTTCAGGTTGGCCTTGAACTCACTTTGTAGCCCAGGCTAGCCTCGAAATTGCAGCAATCCTCCTGCCTCAGCAATCCTCTTGCCTCAGCCTCCTGTGTGCTGGGATTATAGGTGTACACCACCACACTTGGCAGGATAGCCTGTTTTGCAAGGGCTTAATCTCCTTTTCTAACCTTAAAGTCCACTCTAAGAACCATGACTGCAGAGACCAAAGCCCAGTACAGCCGGGGCCCATCATGGAGGACGGAAATCAATCACATACTGGCTATAGCACTGATAATCCAAGCAATGATCTGTCATGACTGCAGACATCTGAAGGCCAGGCAGACAGTGTGGGAAGGGAGGAACATCCACGCTGCTTACCTGTACAAAATGACATATTCATGCCCCTGTTTTCTGGACAGTCTGTAGGCCGGTGTCACCCGTGTTATAGCAAGGAGAGACTTGAGCAGCAGGGACAGTCTGTTGTAGACAGTATAGGAAACTTTGATTTCTTTATCACACCTGTGGGGTACACGGACCGGTGAGCATCTCGTATAAACTACTGGAACTGTACATCTTTATGATTTAATAATGTTTTGAACTAAAGGAACAACTGGAGTTGTCCACAGTTTTTTTTTTTTTTTTTTTTTGGGTCTTTTGAGATAGTGTCTCACTATGTAGTTCAGCTAGCCTCAAACTAGCCTCGATCCTCCTGCCTCAGCCTCCTGAGTGCTGGGATTACATGTGTGTACCACTATACCTAGCCCATAGATTACTGAAGGAAGCCAACGCTTAATTTTTTTATGCCCTAGACAGAAGAGATGAGCAGGAAAAATCCACCCAATCTGTTTTGATGTAGTTTGGAAGTGGTTATTGTTCTAAGCAATAAAGCAACACTTAAAAACAATAAATACACATTGTAATTATATATACTAAAGATGTAGACATGATTTTAATGTGCCATCATACATGCTATCTAACTCTCTAGGGGAAATCTAGAGAAAAGCCTGTTTGGCACTAGAACTCTCTACCATGATCAGGCAACTGTTCTCTATTTAAGAAAAAATAGTGCTCACATCACACATATTTATCACTACTGAGGGTTTTCTTTGATGGTCTGGTTATTTCCCTCAATCTTCCTGTATATTCTACTTGAAAACTGATGCTTCAGCCAGGGGGTAAACTGAGCTGCCTTAAAGGAGGAAAGTAGGGCAGGGACATGAGGCGCAGCTCCCATCCACGGCCGACACGGGTGTGTCAGGGGCAGCGCGGGGAAATCGTCTTGGACGATAGCCATGCAGCGAACAGACAAAACAGAGTGGTCACGTTACACACTCACGCGGGACTGAGTCAGAGAATGAGCTGTGCTCTGGGAAAACAACAAATCCTTGTCGGCTCTCCCTGCTGCTTCTCTCCGAGGCGCATGGGTCCCTGAGGACTGACCTCCCTCTGAAGGTCACCGCAGTGCCCAGGCCGGAAGCCAGGCGCGGAGTGCAGAGTAGCAGAGACCTCTCACTCTGCTGGGAAGCCAGATGCCCTCCCTGCCCGGGGAACAAAGCCCTGCTCTCACAGGATGTCACCCGCTGTGTCCTCAGCTGCCACACACTCAGGAGCCCGAGACAGAAGCACTTACTTTTCATTCATTTCAAGACACCAAATCTCCAGCTCCATGGAATCTCCCTGCAGAGGGGAAAATTGAAAAACTTTTCAGATTTTAAAAGTTACCTTTTTTTCTATTAAAAAGTACTACGCAGGGGCTGGGGATTTAGCTCCGCGGCAAAGTGCCTGCCTGGCAAGCTCAAGGTCATGAGTTCGATTCCTGGTACCGGAAGAAAAACAAAAACAAACAAAAAAGTACTATGCAGTCACTATAAAAGTACTGAAAGGTATAGATAAGTAAGGAAATAAGTAAAAAGGAAATAAAAACAAATATCAATTTATTTAACCAGCTTTTTAAAAGGTTAGATCACACTGTATAGACCACTTTTATCACTTCTTTTTCTTAATAAATACATCATAGAATTTCCCTTAATTTCCTTTTTTGAAGTAAAAATTCCAGCCAAGTCTGGTGGTGCACGCCTGTAATCCCAGTACTCTGGGAAGCTTAGGAAAAAGGAACACAAGTTTGAGCCCAGCCTCAGCAACATAACCTATTTAGCAAGATTTTTTCTCAAAATAAAAACATACAAAAGCAGCTGGGGACATACCTCAGTGCAAGTCCATACCCAACACACACACACACACACTCCAAGACAGGCCTGGTAGCCCACACCTATAAACACACCCACTGGGGAGGCTAAGGCAGGAGAATCACAAGTTCGAGGCCAGCCCTGGTAACTTTGAAAGGCTTTACCTCAAAATTTAAAAAAAAAAAAGTTCTGGGGATACAGCTCCTAGTAGGGTGTCCCTGGGTTTGATCCCTAGTCCCCCCACACCCACACTCCCAACACTTTTTTCTTCCCCCTCAATTTTACAGGGGGTATTTTTAGGTGACATCACAGTTTAGGAAAGCTTGCTGCTTTAACAAGCTCCTTCCTTAAAAGTTTCTTAGCTGTCTGATACTCTCTGACCAAATGTTCCCCCTCCCTGTGTACGACTCTCAGTAGACTTCTCCTAGGAGGCAGGAAAGAAAAAGATGACAGCCAGAATTCCCCAACCTTGTAACATTCCTGCCTGTGACTTAAGAGAAAGACAGCCCCATGCCTTTGGACATGAGTGACCTTTTTGTTAATCAGTCGGAAGAGCACCATTCTCTTAGGTGTGGGAGTGTGTGTTGGTCTATGAAACTGGTATCTATTTTATTTTATTTATTTATTTTTTGGTACTGGGAACCAAACTCAGGACCTTGCACTTGCCAGGCAGGCACCTGTACCACTGAGCTACAGTCCCAGCCCTATACATCTATTTTAATACACAGCCTTCTTATTGCTTGTGCCTTATTTTTGTGATGGTGGGCGTTAAAGCCAGGGCCTTACACATGCAAAGCAAGTGTTCTGCCACCGAACTACAGCTACAGACCTTTCTTTTGAGACAGGGTCTCAGTATGTTATCCAAGCTGGTCTCAAACTCTTGTTCTCAAAAGCCCTACTGTTTAGCTGCCTCAATAGGGGAAATTATAGAACAGCTTGCCTCTTCTTATGCCACACAGCCTTATGACGTGTTAGTGGAAACAGATTATTAACAAGCATGAAAGTACAGTAGTAACACTGGGCTTAGCCGAGTATGTAATCCCAGCACTCGGGAGGCTGAGGCAGGAGGATTGTCATAAGTTTGAGGCCAGTCTGGGCTATATAAGCAAGTTCAAGACTAGCCTGTGCTACATGGTAAGACCTGTCTCAAAAAAAATCCCCAAAAAACAAAACAAAAAAAACCCCTGACTCAATGTGGACCCAGGTGGACAAACATATTTTTAAAAAATTATAGTAAAATTGAATGTGGGGCTGGGGATATAGCTCAGTGGCATAAGCGCCTGCTTAGCAAGCGCAAGGTCATGAGTTCAATCCCCGGTACCGCAAAAAAAATAAAATAAAATAAAATAAAATTGAATGTGGTGGTGCACACCCATAATCCTAGCACTTGGGAGGCTGAGGTACGGGTATTACCAAAAGTTCAAAGCCAACCCGGGCAACATAGTTCAAGGACAGCCTGAACTATATATAATGAGACCCTGTTTCAAAAAACAAAAAAAAGGGATGAGGATGTAGCTTAGTATGAAGGCCCTGAATCTAAACCTGAGTACTAGCCAGGCGTGGTGGCGCATGCCTGTAATCCCAGCACTGGGGAGGCTGAGGCAGGAGGATCGTTGCAAGTTTGAGACCAGCCGGGGCTACAAAGTGAGCTCAAGGCCAGGCTGAACTGCATAGTGAGACCGTGTCTCAAAAAGACAAAAATATAAATAAATAAAAATTAAAAAATAAACCTCAGTACTGCAAGAACAAAAGAAAGCAAAACAAAACAATGTAATATTTATAAACAAGGTGCCATAGGAAGTCTAAAAAAGCAGTCCCCTCTCCTCCTTAAAAGAGAAGATTTTCTAGAGCATGTGGGTCAAAGAATGAACAGAAAACTGTCATACGCAGAAGAGCACCATGAGCCCATCTCACCATGCTGGAATAAATACGAAAGCTATTGCCCAGCATACATGCAGCCCTGGGGCCAATCCTCAGCACCACCAAACATACAAACCGAGACTCCTTCAGAAAACGGGAAGTGCAGAGAAGGAAGATGCAAGGCTGAGAACTGAGCCAGAAGGGAGGGTGGACAGCGTGGCTGCCAAGGGAGGCTCCGCCCGGCCGTCCCCTTACCTCGGAGGTCTTGAGCGAGATCTCCACACACATGGACCGCCCGACGGCGGGCAGCTGCCCCGCCAGTGCCTTCTTTGCTTCATGGGTGACCTCTGGGATGTCTTTGATCGCTAAGTTAAACTAGAAAACAAGGGACCCTGGCATGAGACCCTGTCAAGGAACATCAGGGGACCGAGAAGCAGGCTGTCAGGGAAGGCAGGTTTTGCTTGGGCACGCACCAAGGACCCAGATCTCAAGTGGAAAGGGTTAAAGGTTAAGTCCTCAGGACAACCACCAGATAACACCGCAGGACGAAGCTTTCCATCTGCCTCAGCAGAAAGCCAGGACTCAGATACTGTCAGGACTAATTTCAACACGGAATATACTTTCCAAGTGAATGGATCAGAGTCAGACATTTTTCACATCACACCTTAAGTCCTACTACAAATCGTGTACTTAATTACTGAACTTAACAACTTTACACACATTTATTGTGCCAAACACCACAGCGTATCTGCCCCTCACTTAGCAAAGAACAGGAATTTTACCCAATCTGAACCCGTTGGGGATGAAGAGGAACGAGTGCAAATCTTCTCACCAAGTCGAGCCTGGACAATCACTTGGACGGTCTGAAAAACAACCCCCAAAAGAAATCAATGAAAAGGTCTGCAGAACGTAGTGGGCGGTAGAGGGCTTGCCTGGGGCTCCAGGAGTCCTGGGTTTGAGCTAACAGCTCCCAAAAAAGGTGTGGCTCCTTACAAAGGTTAAAAACCTAGCCCGGCAGGGTTAAGAAGGTGTCAAGTAATCATAAGACTACTTCAGGAAAGGATAACATTTTAACAGGAAGAGACAAAAGAAAAAAATCATCTAAAACCCAGCCTTCGTTGTCCACCTACCAGGAAGGGCACAATAAACAAAAGAGGGACACTGCAGCCAGCTGAAGCTCAGCGAGGTCTTGAAGGCTGCTGTTCTGGTCCCTGTCTTTGTTCCCACCCCGAGGGAACACACTGTGCCAATAACGTGGCAGAACAGTTTGACATTTCTACAAATAGCCTTCCACAAAAAACTGTGCACAAGTCGCTGTGGAAAATTGGAAGCGACTTTCTAGTCACACCCCCATCATTCACAGTTTGGTTTACAACAAACAGAAGTAGCCCTTAAAATGGGCAAGCTCCAATCTGTTACATTCCGTTTCCAGAGAGGGTTCTGCACAGGAGTTACTTCGAACTGTTCTCGGCCCAGGAGAATGGCCACATTACCTTGAGGGCAAAAAATTTAATGAACTTGTCCAGGTCCTTCCTGTCCTGAGAATTGAGATCAGTTTCCATTGCCTATTGGAATCTGCAACAGAAAGAAGCAGTGATGAGAGGTGATCAATACCCTCAAAACGGGACTGTAACATGGAAGCACCTCCTAGCTGGTCAAGTCATGTGTAAACGGGCCAGAAAACACTCCCTGTAACTAAAGATACCAAGGAGAAAGTATTATGGTACTCCTTCTTGAGGAAAATAAATTCCAAAATTCCACACAGAGTGCTATATTTAGGAACCTAAAAAATAGATGAGGACATTTTACCTGATTTTGAAACTTTGAGCTTTAAATATAACTTATCTATTTAAAACTTTTATTATCCACTATATTTAATGCCAAGGATCTGTGGTGTCATTCTTTCCCAGTACTGGGGATGAACCAAGGTCTTCTCACTGAGCTACAGCCACGCGCCCCCACCCTGTTCTGAGATAGAGTCTCGCTAGGCAGTGCAGGCTGGCCTTGAACTCACTATGTAGCCCAGGCTGGTCTCAACTCAGTGTTTTTTTGAGACAGGGTCTCGCTATGCAGTTCAAGCTGACCATGAGCTCACTCTGTAGCCCAAGGTGGTCTCGAACTCAATGATCCTCCTGCCTCAGCCTCCCAGGTAGCAGGGATAACAGGTGTGCACCACATGACCGGCTAGAACTAGATTTTAATGAGATAAAAAGGTCACTGGGGGCCGGGCATGGTGATGTACCCCCAGAATCAATCTCAGGGATCCAGAAGACTAAGGCAGGAGAACCACAAGTTTCAGTGCATTTCTGAACAACTTGAGACAGGGGAGACCCTACCTCAGAATAAAAAATAAAAAGAGCTGGAGATATGGCTCAGTGCAATGGCCCTGTGTTCCCTCCCTAATCACAAACACACACACAAGAACAAAACTTTGCTGAGGGTGGGCATGTCCTTTAGGTACACAACGTCTAGTGTGCCAAGGCCCTGGGTTCCATTCCAAGCACTGTAAAGAACAAAACAAATAAAACAACATTTCTAACGCAACACAAAATGAGTTAATTTATGTTACATCAATAGGTCATTAAATCAATTTAACTTTTAGGGGTTACAGACTCCCCTTGAGAGGCTGGTCACCAGAAAAACCCTTTCTCCAGACTGCATGTAATTCCAAGATGGGATGGGGGACAAAGACCACCAAGGATAGCATATGGATTTCACGAAGCACATTATCACTCCCCACCCAGGATGAAATAAGTTGAGACAGGCTGAAGGTAATTATGAGGAAGAATGTATTTAAGGCAAGAAGACCAGGGACAGAGAGGTGTAACAGAGAGCCACAGCTGGAAAATCCTAAGTACCCACGTTTCCCCAAGGACTGCCTGGGGCGGAGGCGAGGTCTGTCCAGCTGGGAGCACCAAGCAGGAGCCTGAGAGCGCTACAGCCCTCCCTGCACCTCTGCAGCACGGTGCTGTGCAGACAGCTTGGCTAGCGGAGCGCAGAGCAGCTCTGCAGGGGCGGAAGGAAAGCAGTTAGGTCCCTGGCAACAGCTCAGGCCTGTGGTCAAGGCTGGAGCTCTAACACAGACATTCCTTGGGAAACAGGAGAGTGGGGGCCAACAGGATTTAAGGACTGCACAAAAGGCAGACAGGAACGGCAGGATTTTAACTGTGGGCAACTGAAGAGCAAGTTTAATAAGGTTTCACTTAACAACAACAACAACAACAAAGCAGTGAAGGAAGAGGGGAGTTCGTTTTAAGGGAAAGGACACAAAGGAGAGAGCTGAGGAAGATGTAAAGAGAATTAAGATGTGTACTGTGCACACATCAGCTCCCCACGATGAGTGCAAGCACTACGAAACGCACAGTCCGAGGAGGACGTTGGCCATGCGTCTTTTACTGCAATTCATTTACTTTCCGAACATGCCACGTACACTAACAGACGAGGGCAGGGCTGTCAGTATAAGAGCTCAGGTCACAACCTGCCGGCGGGCAGCCCACAAAGCCAACCTAGTCTCTCCAGGAAGTAGCCCAGGAAGTCACGGCTCCAGGAAGTCTCAGTTACCACAACTGCTCAAAACAGTCCGCATCTGATTAATAACCAATTTCTGTCCCACTTCCCACCAGGACCCACAGGGAAAGCAAAGGCCGCAGCCCTAGCCCATGGCACCGGATGCCTGGGCCCTAGTCAGCCTGCATGCGGCCTCCCCTGACCACGTGTCCCCTCAGAGACACCTGAAGCCTTCTGCTCTCCATGCCAGTTTCTCTGTCCCTGCCTCAGACTGCCAAATGCAAGTGCCAGCAGCTTGCTCTAACTGCCTTTGCTTGTTCTCATTTGGGTATTCTTTATTTCTACATTAAAAATAGCTTTAGAGATGTATGACTGACAATAAACACACTTAAAATGTACAATTTGATTTGTGTGTCATGCACACACACACATATACAATCATCACCACAAACAAATCTGTACACATTCATCATCCCTCTCATGCTCCCTCTAAAATCCCCTCCTCTAGTCACACCTTAATGTAGCCCTTATACCTAAAACAACCTTGGTGCACACCTGTAATCCCGGCACTTGGGAGACTGAGGCAGAAGGATCTTGAATTTGAGGTCAGCCTGGGCTACATAGTGAGTTTAAGGCCAGCCTGAGCTACCTAGTTAGACCCTGTCTCCAATCAACCAACCAACCAACCAACACCAAATCAAATCCAAAAAATCCTGATCCCTCTCTGCATTTTATACAATTTTATACCAACTTAAGTCATACAGTTTGTACCCTTTGTCTGTGTAGTTTGCATAATTATTTTGAAACTTATCCATGCTATGTTGTACGTCAATACTTAATTTCTTTCTTTCTGTTGCCAAATACTAGTTCTTTTCAGGTAGTCTTTCATGACCAGAAATTTTTTTTTTTTTAATTTTTTTTATTTTAATCTTTTTGAGACAGGGTCTCTCTATGCAGTTCAGACTGGCCTTGAGCTCACTTTGTAGCCCAGGCTGGTCTCAAACTTGCAACAATTCTCCTGCCTCAGCCTCCCAAGGGCTGGGATTATAAGCGTGCGCCACCATGCCTAGCCAGAAATTGCTTTAATAAACTCAATTTCAATCTTTTATTTGATGGTTAGCACTTTTTTGTGTTCCGGAAACAAATGTGTGCTGACTCTAAAGTCCTGAAGATATTCTCCTATATTTTGATTTAGAAGTGTTTTCGTTTTACCTTGCAATCGATTCTGTAGAGGACACCAGCTAGGTATTCTGTTGTAACACTATCTCCCTCTGGATGCAGGTCATGAGTCCCAGGGTGTTTTACTCGTGCGTCTGACTTTCTGGCTATCAACTGGGGTTCCCACAACCCCCTCCTCAGGTTTAGTAAATGTGCATGAGCAACTCATGGAGCTTGGGAACAGGCCTATTGGTCAGCGCATTATAAAGGATGTTACAAAGGATAGGGATGAACAGAAGCATAGTGCAAGGTATCAGGACAGGACCCAGAACCTGGGGTTCCTCTTGGCACCCCCGCTCCAGAAACCGCCACATGGCCACCATCTGAAAGCCTCCCTGAGCCCTTCCGCTGGTGTTTGTTTTTCCCAGGGAAAGCTGATTGCATAGGCATGACTGAAGCGTGCACGGCTGGGCAGCACGGTGACTGGACACAAAGGCATAACCTGATGCCAACAGCTGAGTGGGAAGCCCGCAGGCTGCCCGCCCTGGGGAGGGGCTGGGGCAGGACCCCTTGAAACAGGAGTCTCGGGACCCACTACCGGAAATGGCAGATCGCTGAATTTCTTTGTAAGCCGCAGCCACAATGCCGGGGAAGATCAGAGAAAGTCTGGTTTCAATGACCTACATCGGGGAGAAAAAAGAGCAGATCAAAGGAGAACAGGAGATCAGAGAGCCTGCTTTTGGAGGCCGTACCCCCTCATCATTATTCTAGTCACTTGGGAAATACACGGTTTATTGGAATAATTAGGAATCACAAGCAAAGCCACCAAAATACAGTGTGTGTAACAGAATGCAGGCTCATTATTTCAACCAACTGATCAGCTCGGTTTACTTAGCAGATGAATTAGAAACACTGTAAGATCAGTCTGAAAATGCCAAGTCTGGAACTAAGAGAAAAGGCTGAGAGTAAGGTCACAGAAGGGCCCTGGGGAGCTGGGTACGGTGGTGCATAGCTATATAATCCCAGCACTTGGGAGACTGAGGCAGGAGGATCACTGGCTACATATTGAGTTCAAGGCCATAAAAAACTGTGCAGTTAGACCTTGTTTCAAACACACACACACACACACACACACACACACACACACACTGCAGGGCCGAGGACATAGCTCAGTGGTAAAGTGCTTACCCACTGTGAGGCCCTGGGTTTGATCCTAAACACTACACACACACACACACACACACACACACACACACACACATCCTAGCTCAGTGGCAGAGCACTTGCCTAACAAGTGGAAGGCTCCTGGTTCACTCCCCAGCATCACAAAAAAGATCTACCTATCCTTTGCTGTTTGACTCTGCTTTTTTCAGCCCTCTTTGGTCTATGACACCACTTTTCCAGCCAGGCATGGCAGCGCATGCCTGTAACCCCAACATGGGGGAGGCTGAGGCAGGAGGATCACCAAGAGTTTGAAGCCATCCTTAATTACAGAGTGAGACCCTGTCTCAACAGCAACAACAACACACTCTTTTGCTCAGTTCAGAGCACTTCCTCTATTTTACAGAACAAGGTACTGTCCAATTTTTCACATATAAAGTAAAGCTGATTAGGAATCATTGTAATTTTGTCCTCTGGCAGGGTTAAACACTTCAAGGTCCTGAAACAAGACAGCAACAGATCTAAGAACTGTGCTGTGAATTACATTAACTTTATTTTTCAGTAAAAAGCAGATCTGCATTCTTACCACCAGAACATCTACCAATGCAAACATCATCACGAGTAGAATTATGTCACTGTAGCTACTGCCCCCGGAAGGGTGCTGGTCTCCACAGCGGGAATGTAAGTTACTCCCTAGCTTTGCTCTTTGTAAAATTTTCTTTTTAAGTACTCAAGGAAATATACAGGGA